AAATGTCAAACATTATGTGTAAAACATTGCTCACATATTTGAGAATATCGCAAATATATTGAAAAACAACACACACATAATATTGAAAACATCGCACATATATCGTCAAAAACATCGCACATATAAATTGAAAATCGCATATAAATGAAAAACATCGCACACATATATTGAACATCTCACATATATTGTAAAACATCGCACAAATATATTCAACATCGCGCAAATAATGAAAAACATCGCACACTTATATTGAACATCGCACATAAATGTAAAAGATAACAAACACATAATGAACATCCAACATATTTATTGCAAAATATTGAATATTGCAACGTTTGACACGCCATAGCCGACCGTGGTCTATTACATGTCAACAGATTTGGCGATTAATTATGCAACTAGACTGTTTATGACCTTGAGAAACTGACCAATCAGCAGGCGCCTTTTATACACGCGTAATTCGAGCTTCCCGCGTGTGTATAAACATCACGCCCACGATGAGTACCATTTTTGTTCAGGTTGTCATTACCAAAACGCGGCATCAAAATTGACCAATCACAATCTTAGTCCTGATTTCGGAATGAAATGACGTACATTGAAACATTGACGTACTTTTTTGTTGATGACGAAAGTTTGCAATGAGGGCTCTGTTTTCGTGTCATTTTCATGCGCTGAGCGTAGGGTCACGGAGCTCCGTGAGCAGATGCGCGCAAGTTGTTCATATGCAAATCCTAGGATATAAAAGCCCGTAAGCTTAAGTACAAGAATATTTAAATCACTCATGTACTGTTCAAGTTACGGGATTTTGGACACAAACACCGTTTTAAAGTTCTGTCCACAGATCACACAAAACGATTCCATTTGATGCGTATATGTTTACAAAAGTAACACATGTTCAATTAAATATGAAAGTTGCTTAAGATATATGTAATGCAGGGCGAGTAAAAAAATCGAAACCCAAATAGCAGGACCTACAATTTTCGAATGACGTTTTGTCTGTAGCACTTTCAAAATCTAGGGTATGAACGCACAGTCATTACGCTTACTTATAATTCAAGAATAATTCAAATCACTCCGTATTGTTCAAGTTACGGAATTTTGAACACACACAATGTTTGAAAGTTCTGACCATGGATCACACAAATGTAAGTATTCTTCAGCAAAACGAAACAATCTCATAGGGATCTGCATGTGAATTGTTTTCGTGGTAATAATACAAAAAGGTTAACATTCCGAAGGGGTTATTATCTGTATCTAAGGCCAAAAAAAAAATCGGTCTCTGGTCAGACAGAAGTTCCGGAATTGATGCGGCGACGCAGTTTTTTTTTTTTCTTTTTTTCAAGCTTGAATTGTACAGACAAGGTGGGTACTATTTTGCTTTTTGTGTCCTCATTATACATTGGCGTCCTTCATAATTTTCCTTGGTGCTCCCTGGTACAACAATTTGAGGAGGTGCGGCAACAGAGGGCGCTGTTGTAGCTTCCGTGTTAAATTGAAGAAAAAAAGGTTGAAGCGCATGATTAAAATCGACGCGTGCGCTGACCAGAGACCGAGTATTTTTTTTTTTTGCCTAACGGGCCTTATAGTCCAGCGGATATGTGACAAAATATCGATGAATTGTGCACTTTTGCATAAAAGCGTGAAACTTGGCACAGATGTTTATATTCATGCGAGAAAATGTTTTAGATGTGGAGCCATCGCAAATTTACCCTTTTAGGGGCGTGGCATCCATTTAAAAAAAGGGGGGCGGGACTTGTCATGCCCGCAGTAAAAATGGTTTTTCCCACTTGTTACAAAAGCAGGAAACTTCACAAAGACATAATTATATAGATTATTAGTGTTTTCCAGATTCTTAGCCACAACAAAAGTACTTTTTTAGGGGCGTGGCAGCCATTAAAAGAAAGGGGGGGGGTAATTATTATGCCCACTTTGGAAAACATTGTGCCCATATTTCATGAACGAATAAAACGTCCCACAGACGTTTATATTCATGAGAAAAAAAAATCTAGATGTGGAGCCATCTCGAACACACCCTTTTAGGGGCGCGGCAACCATATAAGAAAAAAAGGGGGGCGGGGTTTTCATTATGCCCACCCTGGAAATATTGTTCCCACACTCAGAAAGAAATGGAACTTTCCACAAACATTGACATTCATGAGAAAACAAATTCCAGATGTGGAACCATCTCGAACACACCCTTTTAGGGGCGTGGCAACCATATAAGGAAATAAAGGGGGGCGGGGTTTTCATTATGCCCACCCTGGAAATATTGTTCCCACATTCATAGAGAAATGGAACTTTCCACAGACATTGACATTCGTGAGAAAAACAATTCCAGATGTGGAGCCATCGCAACCACACCCTTTTAGGGGCGTGGCAGCCATATTGAAAAAAAGGGGGGGGGGGCGGGGTTCTCATTATGCCCAACATGGGAAAAATGTGCCCACATCTCATAAACGAATGAAGCTAATTTCCACAGACATTAATACTCACGAGATAAAAATCATACGTGGAGCCATCGCAAACACACCCTTTTAGGGGCGTGGCAGCCATAATAATGGGGGGGGGGTAGTCATGATGCCCCTATAAAAGAAAGTTGTGCCTTCCTTTCATAAATGGATTAAATTCCACTCGGACAATATATTCATAAAATTCTTCTTTTTTTTAATGTGAGGCCATCACAAACCTACCCTTTTAGAGGTGCGGCATCCATTTTTAAAAGGGGGGGGGGGTACTCAATATGCACAACGTGGAAAATGTTGACCGCGTTTCATATAATAAAATCCACCTCAGATAGCTGTTTAATGTGTTGGAGTAGGGCCGCCTTTATAGTTGGAATTTACTGTTGACAAACCCTTTGTTTTCTTACACTATGCATTCTTGCCTTATCTATATTAATCCAGTTACTGGTTCTTTCGTCTGTAGAATTATTGATAACCTTTCAACTGCATCAATATCTGAATTAGGGGTATAAGCTGGGGTACCTCAGTTAGGCCTGGAAAGACTAGTGTTACTTCTTCAAATACATTGTTTCCCCTGCCTTCTTTTCTGACAAACCAAAAGGCATATGCAGTGTCGCACCTGTATAACGTATAATTTTTTTAATGGATTTGGTCGGGGTAAACAAAAACACTCATAAGAGCTTGATATACCATTTTTAAGAGAACAGAGGTGTTGTGTGGTGGGGGTACACAGATTCATTGAATGTGAAGTCATAGTGGACGTGTCCACCACTTCGTGAGGCGAGTACATCGTGTTGTTACCCAATCTGCTGTCAATGCGGCGCAACGGGTAAGGGGTAGGGGGATTTTATACTCCCCCCCCCGTAAAAAAAGGATTTCCATGGCCCTTTAATGTTGAATGTTAGAGTTTAGGTCTGCCATTGTGTGCTGTGTATTTGTAATTATGAAATCACTCTGGAATTTAGATGTGCATGATAATATAGGTGCAAGTACACACATTGAACAATATAACACGGGTTAGCCTACCGGTACTTACCCATGCTCTTTGGGGTAAGTCATTGTATTACCAAATAATATAGGTTATGGGCCAATCAACATTATACGAAATCAACAACAAAATATAAAAATTGCAATTGTGGGCACAGTGAATAGGCCCCTCACACCTCTAAAAGGATGAGTTTGCTGTGGCTCTACATAAGAACTTTCTTTTATAGGGGCATCATGACTACCCCCCCCCCCCATTTTACTATGGCTGCCACGCCCCTAAAAGGGTGTGTTTACGATGGCTTCACGTCTGACTTTTTTTTTCTCTTGAATATTAATGTCTGTGGAAATTAGCTTCATTCGTTTATGAGATGTGGGCACATTTTTCCCATGTTGGGCATAATGAGAACCCCGCCCCCCTTTTTTTCAATATGGCTGCCACGCCCCTAAAAGGGTGTGGTCGCGATGGCTCCACATCTGGAATTGTTTTTCTCACGAATGTCAATGTCTGTGGAAAGTTCCATTTCTCTATGAATGTGGGAACAATATTTCCAGGGTGGGCATAATGAAAACCCCGCCCCCCTTTATTTCCTTATATGGTTGCCACGCCCCTAAAAGGGTGTGTTCGAGATGGTTCCACATCTGGAATTTGTTTTCTCATGAATGTCAATGTTTGTGGAAAGTTCCATTTCTCTCTGAGTGTGGGAACAATATTTCCAGGGTGGGCATAATGAAAACCCCGCCCCCCCTTTTTTTTCCTTTATGGTTGCCACGCCCCTAAAAGGGTGTGTTCGAGATGGCTCCACATCTGGAATTTTTTTTCTCATGAATATTAACGTCTGTGGGACGTTTTATTCGTTCATGAAATATGGGCACAATGTTTTCCAAAGTGGGCATAATAATTACCCCCCCCCCCTTTTCTTTTAATGGCTGCCACGCCCCTAAAAAGGTACTGTTGTGGTGGCTCCGAATCTGGAAAACACTAATAATCTATATAATTATGTCTTTGTGAAGTTTCCTGCTTTTGTAACAAGTGGGAAAAACCATTTTTACTGCGGGCATGACAAGTCCCGCCCCCCTTTTTTTAAATGGATGCCACGCCCCTAAAAGGGTAAATTTGCGATGGCTCCACATCTAAAACATTTTCTCGCATGAATATAAACATCTGTGCCAAGTTTCACGCTTTTATGCAAAAGTGCACAATTTTTTCACATATCCGCTGGACTATTATGCACGAGTTGGCCATTTTTGTCAAGTTCCCATGAATGTATTTTATTTAATTGTTAACTGTTGAATGAGATGGCGCCAGACTATTTATGCAGGCATTAATGCAGCCATATTTTACTGTCATTTTGGTTTTAATCTGGCTTTAAACATTAGGGAATGTTTAATTGCAAATTTTAAATTATTAATTGAAGCAGACTGGAATTAATTAGTAATCAACTAATTGCTTTTATTTCTCTTCGCAAGTTCAAAAATGGTTTTACCTCACTTTCAATTCAAAATGGCCGACTCGTGCATAAGGCCAAGTTACTAAAGATATACGAAACTCACCGATTTCTTCAAACTGTCTGTTCAACTCAAGATGACTGGGATGCTGATCAGTCAGATGTAAACTCAGACGAATTAAGATGACTGTGATTCGAAAGGAGGCGCAAATACCAATATTTATAGGAAAACGAAGCGGATGTTCCTCTGGAGCCATTTGATAACGATCAACCACGAATTGTGATCTGAAAAAACCCCCACTAAAAACACCCCCTCACCGTAAGTCCTGTTCACTTAATTCGTCGCGTGAGACAATTTCGCAGAAACACTTGGCAGCTAGAGTGTTTGGTCCTGTCATGTTTTTTTTTATTCCTCCATGGTCCTATTCAACTTTCAGCCAGTGAGCTTTTTGGCACCGATTACACCACGTAAAGTGTGACCTTGCAAGGTCATTTTTTTATTGGGGGGGGGGGGGGGGGGTAAATGCCCCCAATTGTAAATGCCCCCAATTACACCCCCGCGCGCTACGCCACTGATATACCGGGAAATGCGAAACACCGTGTGTTTACTGGAATCCATATTACATATGTCACAGCTACGGGCCAAGGGAATTAACTGATCCCGGGTCACTAACTATCGACAGACACACTGACACAGTTCATAGTCTGGGGGCCCAGCGAGGTTTAATCGTAATTTCGAGTGCATAAGATTTGAAGACTGGGATATCAGTGACTGAGACATTTCTTAATAGTCCGAGAGCCCAGTGAGGTTTAATTAGAATACCGCGCACACAAGGTTTGATGGTGGCATCGAGTAGGTGGGGGTGACCAACCTTCAAAACCGTCATTAGTGTCACATCCCGCTCGTTTGGGAGGAGGCACCACCGCCTAAACACCCCCCAAGTTGAATTTTAATTAGAATATCGCGCACAAGCAGCTAGGTTCCAACGCAAAAAGATTATAGTATTCGATTAACTTATCAATTACCAATATAACTCGAATTCTGCAAACGCTGACTCGTACACTTCCGTTTGGTGTTGGAATGATCGTTGTGCTCAACATTCTAATTACACATAAAAAAAATCCTAAGAGGGCGGCTAATTAAGTTAACTCATTCTTAAGCACAAAATGCACGGGAATATACATTCTCAAGTTGCGGATCTTGCATCATAGTCACATTAATTAGCTTTTAGTGAAGGTTTCGCTCTTGTGCTCAAAATTCTAATTAACTGTCAATAATTAGCACTAATTACGTCATTCTTAAGCATGGAATGCACGGGATTTCTCATTCTTAAGTTCATTGCAGTTATTGGTAATTAATAAGTTAATCAAATACTATCTTTTTTGCGTTGGAACCGGTGCTTGTGTGCGATATTCTAATTAAAAGTCAATTTTTTTTTTTTGGGGGGGGTCTTATCAGACGGGGTCTTATCAGGACACCCCAACCTACTCGCTGCCACCATCAAACCTTCTGTGCGCGATATTCTAATAATTAAACCTCACTGCATGGGCTCTAGGATTATAAGTTTGTTCGGCCAGTGGTGCGTGGGGGGGGGGGGGGGGGGAGGAGCCCCTTATAGTCCCCCAAAATTCGATTTACTCAAGAGGAAATCAATGCATGGCCCAATCTTATCGCATACAATGCACATATGTTTTAAAACGCAAGGAGAACATCGCTTACTAAAATAGCCTAGTGGTTAAGCTGTCTGACAGTGGACCCAAGGTTAGGGGTTCGAATCCCCATGGTGCCATGTTTTGTTTTCAACGCACGTGGCCGTGTTATTTAAGTTAAGAGTATTTATTTCCCGTCGTCATTCACCAACAGCAGTTAGCTCGGTCGGTCGGTAAGCTGACTCACAAGTTGGGACTGTCTGCGAAGTCCAGGTTGGCGTCTGCGTATAGGTACGGGGTTCTTTTGCTGACTCGGCAGCAAGGCTTAGGGTGCCACCTCGTTTCCTCCCTTTATGGTGCCTGACTTTCGAGTTACATGGATGGACAGGGAAGGAGGTGTGGTGGGCCGGGTACCGAGTCCCAGAAGAGTTCTATATGGAAGTCGGTAAGGGGCTCATTAAGTTAGGGTCATAAGTCCGACTCCTGAAGACTTGGCCATCGCCACATAACTTTTTGTTTTATTATTTTTCTATCCGAGGACTTTTGCAAGAATGATTCATTTGTTATATTATTGAGAGCTTGTATCGTGATCCTTTTTTAAAAAAATGGTTCAAAAACAAAACGGAAAATACAAAAAAAAAATCATATAACAAAATTACACAAATATCAAATCAGCTATTATGTTTTGAACGAAAAAAAATATGTTGTCTGCATTATCTTTAGGGAAATTTAATCAATGAAATAAATACAGATTTGTCCCCGACACCTAATGCCTAAAAAATTGTTCAATTTAGTACTGCAGCAGGTTCTGTATATCATTATTAGCACTAGACATTAGGCCAAAACAATGTTCTGCTTCCGATTACATGGCATTTGAAAATAGGATAGGTAGGTAGGGATTATTATTATTTTTTTGGGGGGGGGGATATTTTGTGTGTGTACGATCATATTGTCTGCGTGTAGTCAAGGGTAAAAATTAGGGTAGGGGCTGTCAAAATAGGGTAGGTAGTGTAACCGGAAGCAGAACTATTACTTGGGGGGGGGGCCTTAGTGTCTGATTCATTTCAACGGTTATTTCAAATCTGTTTACCTTTTCAACTGTGATAAATTATGATCTTTTAAAATTGTATAAAAAGAGACTCATCAACGCGTGAAGAGAGAGGGTGGTTTGAACCACTTGATCTCTGTGATTAAAAATCTGGAAAGCTCATTGCGCGATATGTATAACACATTTATTTTGAAGCTACATTGTAGGTAGTAGTTCTCAATCTAGTACAGTACACTCCATTTCATTCGGCCAGGGACCCGCAAACAAACATAATGATAAGCAACCTAGCATGTTGTAGCGGATCATATTTATACCACACATGATCAAATTATTACTGCAGATTTCCACACAGGATGAAGACAAAGAAATACAAGACCAGTGAGGCAAACTAAAATTGAGATCTCTTCTATTTATTCATCCTGACTGAAAATGCATAAGGCACATCTTGGTGTATTGTGTATCATATTGAGGAGTTACAATTACAAGAACGGATGTACAAATATGAAACTTGGTTTCGACAAATTGAAATTTCATTTTAATCAGGTGGCTTGGGTTGTTTGCGAATGTTGGTCATTCAGTCCACAGACACCCAGAATTAAAGTTATGTCAATAAAGTTTAACTGGCACAAAAAATAAAGGTAAAGGTATGAAATTTAAGTAACGTAAACACACACACAACTATTTCAAATCAAACAAAGAAGAAATCAAAGGAAAAATAAAATTTGTCAAATTTACAAAAAGTGTTAGGTCAATCTTGTCTCATGTCAGCCAGCACTACAGGTATTGATGCCCTCTAATCATGTGATTTTACTACTGCTGGATTTGGTATGAATATACATGTAGTTGATCTGTGTGTCCCTTGTGTACATGTACAGTCAGTTTAAAGACAGAGTCCATCACTTGCAGCTAGCCCAAAAGTAACTGGCGTAATTATTGTAGTAAAAACATACTTGGTTGAAAGATTAAAGGGGACTAAACTCCCTGTGAAATTATTTTTTCTGGCAAGCTGTCATTTTGAAGAAATCAAAGAAAGAATGGGTGCGTCATAAGAAGCACAGTTGAAAATTTCCGTTAGTAGTTCGTTTTTTTTTTATTCGGCAAAGCGCGCGCAAGCGTTGACACGACGCACATGCACGCGCAGTTGCTAGAATTCGTCGGATCGGTGCGCGACATCGCGTAGCTTTAATCGGCTCAGTGAGAACGTGTCTCGGACGCTGAATTCAGGCCCAATTCAAAACGTGATTCAGCAACTTCTGATTTGAAATCGAGATCCTAGAATGTTGTTTTTCTCGAAATATAAAGCTAAAGCTGAGCTGAAACTTCAGGTTTGTTGTTCAGCACCCTTCGCTAGATTTTGAGCACTTTTGTTGCTTCAAACTAACAAAATACACAAATTACAAATGATGGACTATACCTTTAACTTCTACAACATGTATGTAAGTGTCTTCTAAGTACGTATTTATCATGATTCCTATCCAACTTATTACCGTCTACAATAAAAGTACCTGTTAGGCCAAAAAAAAAAGTCTCCGGTTTCTGGTATGGAGCTTGCCCAAAAAGTGGTGCGGCGACGCGGCTTTTTTTTTTTTACCCGATTTTTTTGCTTCAAATGTCGGCTGATGACTGCAAATGGTGCCCGACTAAACTTAGTGCAAATATATGTGAGTCCAGAGAGGCCACATAAAGCTTATTCTCGACCATAACCCAATCTAAAAACACGTTAAAATTGTGCAGCAGCAGGATTCCAGTCAAACTAGTGAGTTTGGCGGTTTTGAGACATCATCTTTCATTGAAAAAAAAAACTTTTTCATTTTGCCAACGCGCATGGCTACGGCGACGCGCGCGCATACCAGAAACCGGAGACTTTTTTTTTTGGCCTTATGTAGAAAATGAATAGTTTCTAAGGTGAAGCTGGGCTTTTCCCAACACTAGTAAAATAAATGCACTTACGATAAGCATATTGTGTTTAGTATTAATTTGGTATTACCAGTATACCTATTTCCTGAATGAAAACAGCACTGCTGCGGCTATGAATGGCAAGTATATAAAAACTATTCCTTCAAGTGTGGAAACTATTGATGTACATCAATGCGCAAGGCTTACAGCAATTCATTTAAATTGCTGGGAAAAGCGCAATTGAGAAAATAATTGGATTTTTTGATGGTGGGAGTTGAAAAAGAACAGGGTATGCAACTTTAAATTGAGCGTGTGTATATCTTTGTCGACCAAAATTAATCATAACAGTTGTGTAGGACTCTAATTCTAAAAATAAAATGGACTTTCTTCTACACAGTATAAGTTATAAGTTGGGCAAAATTAACATGTGCGATGAAGCCCACTTGCAAAGCCTTGCTTTTTTTATCCACCCCCATCTGCCTGACCATAGTACACCCCTATATCTGATAATGCTAAGGTCCACCCTGTCATGTCCTTAATGGTGTGTGGCCCCTTAGAGGGGACCCGGATAGGGAGGTGTCACCAAAGACGTTTGCGTAGGAGCTCTTGAGGAACTGGACGTAGTTCTGCATGCTGCGGTTGGTGCTGTGTGACTGCTCCAGGCGATCCTTCAGGTCGTACAGCTGGGAGTTGAACTTACGCTCCGCCTGAAAAAGAAAGGAAAAAGGAGTGCATTTGTAAATAGATTTCTTATTGGCCAACTAGGGTCCAATTGCATAGTGCTGCTTAAAGGGAATGTACATGTACATCATTGGCTTTTGCTGTAATTTTCAGAAACGAACTATTTGAGGGGTTAGTATAATAGATCAAATATTGTTACACTGACATGTTTGAAGTTTTGTCTTCGAAAATGCTTGAAAAACCAAGAAAAACAACAATGTTCAAGTAGTCTGGTTCCCTGACTCCACTAAATATAAAATGGACCAATTTATAGATGTCGGAAAATTGTAAGGTAAGGGAACCAGTCCAGCTAGCCTGCACCCGTTCAAGAACATGTAACCAATAGCAAACACAATTTGGACTGGAAAAAAAATGTAAATCTGGAGCAGTAGTTGAAAAATAGTAAGGTTTTTCCAACAGTGGTCGGCCGACCATCGTTGGAAATGTATGCAAAAATACCGTTTTCTTAAAAATGACTCGACACCAGGTGCCATAATTTTACAGGATGCTTTAGACTGTCATATACCAACATCCTAGTGAGGTATTTCGTAAAAACTTGGTAGTTTTATTTTTTGATGTTTGCAAATGTTGTATATTCCCTAGTTAGCTTGTGTTAAGGCCAGAACAAAGTCTTCGGTTTCTGGTATGGAGCTTGCCCCAAAAGTGTTTTTTTTTTCCCCATCCATCCAAATTGTATCGATTACAAGTCCTAAGACCAACTCACGTCTTCTTTGGCTCGTTTGGACTGGTGGATTTCCCCCTTGACTCGGTTCAGCTGTGCCTCCAGGTCCAGGATCCTAGCCTGGGCGTTGCGCTCTCGCTGTACGGCTTTCTCCCGCGATTCTTCCTCTAAGCGCCGGCTGTCGCTGATGGCCTGCTCAAGCTGCCGGGACAGGCTGGAATTCTCTCGCGTTTTGTCTTCTATTCTCAACTAGATAAGAAAAAACCAACATTTTTAATGTGTTGCTTAACTCTGACTTACATGGCACTTTTGTGAGGTTCACCCTGCACTTCTGCATTCTTGAATTCTAACATTGAGAAGTAAACCACTGAACATGTTCTTTAAACTGAACAAAATTGGGCAAGAACGTAGTTTACTGACGCCAATCTACCAACATTATCATCGACAACATTATCATCTTACCTTGCTTCTCAGATAATCTTTCAATTGACCACTGTAAAAGGTCTTGATGTTTCGCGAAGAGATATTTTTTGGGGAAAATTATTGCGGCGATACTGCAGTTTGTCTTTTTAGCACGATTGTTCTTATTCCGAATGCGTCTTAACTCGATGCATTAGGAATGCCTTCCAAGGCCAAAAAAAAAAGTCGTCGGTTTCAGGTATGGAGCTTGCCCCAAAAGTGGTGCGGCGACGCGGCTTTTTTTCCTTTTTTTTTCACTTCAAATGTCGGCTGATGACTGCAAATGGTGCCCGACTAAATTTAGTGCAAAATATATTGGAGCCCCGAGAGGCCACATAAAGCTTTTCCTCGATCGTAACCCATCTAAAAACACGTTAAAATTGTGCAGCAGCAGGATTCCAGTGAGTTTGGCAGTTTTGAGACATCATCTTACATTAAAAAAAAAACCTTTTTAATTTTGTTGACGCGCATGGCTACGGCGACGCGCGTGCATACCAGAACTCGGAGCCTTTTTTTATGGCCTAACTTTCTCTCTCTCTCTTTCTTCGTAAATGTTGAGGGTGTAAAGTTTTATGTCATTACCTGGTTTTGGTGGACGGTTTCTTCCCGTTTGGCAATAATGGCATGCAGCTCCTTGTTCTGGTCATCAGCTTCTTGTAGTCGCCTTCATATCACAAGACAAAAATATGACAACCTCATTTCTTATTATGTACGTAACAAAACTGAGACACTAAGCTAGATGTGTTATTGTATTCAAACTCAAGTACGTTTTGAGAATGCTTGTATTCACGCTCATCATGCTTAAATATCAAAATGCTCAGACTCGAACTCACTCATACTCGAGTGGCAAACTATCTGGACTCCACTATTCGATACTGTACTCCACCATCAAAATAATCGTGGTCGATTATAAGGACTCGGAAAAAATCAAGTAATTTAGTTTTGAATGCAAAAAATCTCACTTGGAGACACGTGCTCCGTTATATCGATACTCACTGAACTGCACTGGGTGGTGGAGAGGATCAATTTCCTTTGTGTTGGTTTGCACTCATTACTCATGATATAATTGTTTTCACTCAATAAGTACTCTATAAAGTACTCGTACTCGGAGGTGCAAGTACACATGAAACATGATGTCATCATGGCATAAATCTTTGCGCCACCATCCCCCCCCCCCCCCACATTTTTTTTTATTTTGTGACAGCTGTCGACTGGAAAAAAATCATGTCCGCTCCCTGTCAAGAAATCCTGCATTAGCCACTGTTTATTGAGTACGTACCTTTGGAAGGACTCCATTTGGGAAGCCAGGGACCTGTTCTCATCCTGTGCTGTGTGCCATTTGTCTCTCATTGCTTCCACCTGCTCAGCTTGATGGTCAACCTTAGAAGATGAGAATAGAGCAAGAACAAAATCAACAAAAACATCATGGACCCTGCCACAGCAGGCAACAAAGTGAATATTGTAAGCCGTAACCAATGTCACTCAGACACAGCCTTACCTTGGTTGAGAGATCCGAGATGACCTTCGTCTGCTCAGAGAACCGTCTCTCCTGGCTGAGTAGTTTCTCGGTGGCCTCCAGGAGCTTCTGCTCAGAGTTACGCAGCTGCTCTGGCAGGGGCTCCAGCTCTTGAAGTCTCCGCTCGAGGTGGTTCCTCAGCTGAGAGAAATTATCAACATTTAAATCCGTTCAAAAGACGCTACTTTATGTGTAGATTCATTTTCAAAACAAGGCTTCATTTGATTAACAATGTTCGTAGTTGGATATTACCGGGATGGTTACTGCAATGACTTGGACACTCCCTCACATGTATGCAAAATTATGCATATTGAGGTTTTGCATCCATGTGACCTTATCACGTGAACAGTGAAAGATCCGCCATTTTGGACGTCTAGCGCGGCGCTCGATGGATTGATCCTACAGTGCATGTAGATTGCATTATAACCAACTCCACTGATCATCAAGGGTTGGAATAATCTCCACAAAAGTAATTGGTTAACCCCCCCCAAAAAAATAAAAATAAATAAATAAATAAATAAACAGAAAATGAAAGATGATGAAATAAGCTGTAATTTGATGTGTATTTGAAACAGAGTTGTAATTTTCATGAATTTTGGAATTTTCCAATTGCCCTTTTTTTTTTTTCACAATGGAAAAGCTCACATTGGCTCCCTGTCAACAATTCATTGTTACCAAACTCAAGAAAACTTCTAATTGTTTGTCTCCTCTAGAAATCAACTTACAATATCCATCTCCTTGCCTGCCTCTTGCTCCCTGCGGCTCCTCTGTTGCTGTTCCTGCTCCAGCTGGAGGGACGTATCCAGAGCCTCCCGACGAGATTTACTCATCTGAAAAAACGAACAAGAAGCAATGAAGACTGTATTCTAAGGTGCTACCGTTGGCTTCAATTTTGAACCCTAACATCAGAATTGAACACCTTTAGAACTCATCCATCTGTCCCCGAACCCAAGGGTTGGAATCCATGGTGATCATACATTTTCTTTTAATAGAATCTGAAATTTGTACAAGATGAACCCAAGACTTGTGCAGCCCTGTTAGTTCTTGCAATGTCCTGGGTTCATTTCCATGCAAAACAAATGCACTGGGTTAACCGCACGGTGGTTGATTTTGGTGGATTAGGCAGGAATGTACCGTATTAATCATAGACATAGAGACATATAAGGCCCCCCCCCAAAAAAAAAATAGTTCTGCTTCCGATTACAATGTACATGGCATTCGAAAATAGGGTAGGTAGGTAGGGAATTTTTTTTATTTTGCCAATATTTTTGTGTACGATCATATGGAGGCCTCTGCGTGTAGGGTAAAAGGTATAAAGTGATGGTTTTGGGTGTTTTTTTCTGATTTTTTATCTTCTTTTTTCCAATACAAAAAATAGGGAAGGGGCTGTCAGAATAGGGTAGGTAGGGAAACCGGAAGCAGAACTATTATTTTTTGGGGGCCTAATACATTGTATAACCTAGACACGACATTTGCTATTGCGACTGTGAGTGTGAGCAAAATGCTACGCGTATTACGCAACACCTCGTGCAAGAGAGCAGTCTCACTGCACACGTTATTTGGAATATTTTGGTCCCGTGCGGGAAACACAATACTAAGTTGTGCACAAGTGCATTGGCGATGGCCTGAACATTCGTGGTATACATATGAAGCATGCGCGTAAATTGAAGCCACATGATCATTCCCACATCACACCAGGCCGCGTGACGCAGCCCGTTTTGCTCACAGAATTTACAACGTAGAAGCAGTTAATGTCGTGTCTAGGTTTTATAATTTGTCTATGGTATTAATGTACTGGGGTGTTTGCAAAGCTGACCAAGCTGATTTATTGTTTGAACTGACAACCCTGCAATATTAAAATGTATACCTATGGAAGGTTCTGCTCTAGTTTTACTTAAACGTATTTGATTTCTCTTTGCAACTTTATCCATATATTTCACTGGTTATGATTATTTAAACAAAAAATCCATTTGTAGCTGTTATTTCATACATGTACTTGTTTTCTGGTGCTTTGACAAAATTATGAACTTACAATGTACTTGTAATATATTTAAGTTGTAGCAAGCAGTGATTGTTTCAATGCAATGCATTTTATGCAAACCGTCAACGGCTATATTTATTAGAGTGGATACTGAATAGCATTCATAGTGTCATTATATTTTCCTCAGCAACACATGCTATGAAACAAAAAGAAGAGGGACAAAATCATTAAACATATGTACATGTATCAGTCGTTGTGTGAAGCACTGCAAAACCTGTAGACAGGATGCAATTTTAAGAACCCGAAAACGTAGAATCTGAGAGGGAAATAAGTTACACATACTTCTGTACCGGTACTTCTTTGCAGCCTTACAAAACAATTGAGAAAACTGCATACCCAAGCAAGCATTATGCACATTCCAGCATTCGTAAGCCAAAGCGTTATGTGCAAAATGATTTGTTAATTTTGGAGCAACCAAACAAGCAGCAAAGCTATGCCTTTATATTAGACCATTTGTCAAATCGGGCTACATGTACCACGTGAAATAAGCCTTTTCGGAGTTCCCACTGCGCATTCATAACCTGTGACAACGCGCATTGTTTGTCTCAAATGGCCTTTGACATCATCGCGCCACTGACTTTACAAAAAGGCTGTTTGTGCATTGTGGGTACTGTCAAAGGGCATTTGAGACAAACAATGTGCGTTGTCACAGGTTACGAATGCGCGCAGTTGGAACTCCGAAAAGGCTTATTCTAAAGGGTTCTGGAATATCTAAATAAAATTCTTTATGAGATGTTACAATGCACTTATTTCCAGAAAGCAAAAACATAGGTTTTAAAAGCCATCTGACTTTAATATTCCGAAACGCAGAGGGGTTTTGCGGGCAAACAGAACACCACTATTTGATGCACATGGTCCAATATAAAAGCAAACACAGTGAAACCCATCACCGCATATATGGGCCTGAAATTAAAAAAAATCTCAGCTGCAGATGATCGAGACAGAATGGACACATACCCTTGATCTGTGCTTAAAATAGGAGAATGGATGCTACAAGAAGAAGGAATATTGTACTGAAAATCAATAAAGGCAAAAGAGTGCACATCAACGAGGTCTTTCCCAATATCAAGATTGCAGATTCACTGTAGCTACCATATGAATTTGATGCAAGCCTTTTCTTTACAAGCTGCTGTATCTAACATAAACAAAGACATAAGATTGCCAAGTCTTACGGGAAAAAAAGTCTGATGTTAAATGTCCAACAGATTACAGCAATTCCGCTATTACATTGTTGGTTTTTAATAGCAGGGTTAAGGTATAACAAAACAACATATTTACTAGCTGAGGGAATCTATCTTGTACTGTCCCCAATAATATAAGCAAATGAAAGTTTTTTTCTCTGTCTGATATCTGACATGTCTGAATGAACACGACCAAATCATTTCTGCAAACAATTTAAACTTAAAACCCTGAATATTTTTTCAACACATATTTGATAAATTGTCTTAATGGATGAAATGGTTTAGTCTAGCTACACACAGTCACACAGATTTAGTCACAATCGACTTTCTTCCGAAAATAATGACAATACTGATAACACTTCAACTAGTGTGAGCAATGGAAGTGAGGAAGACTCACCTGTGTTTTGTACTCGCCAACCAGGGACTCATAATCGTGAATACTGGTCTTGAGTTGGTCCACCTCACTCGTGGCAAAGGTCAACTTGTCTTGAACAGTGGCTAGAGATGACTGAAAACAAAAACATAGGAAGAAATTGCTCAAATGTCAATTTTTATTCCAAACATTTTCATGGTGGGAAAAAAATGCCCTCTAGAAATGGAGAATGTTCTTAAGGGAGCGCCTCAAAAGTCGGAACATTCCTATTCTGTATGGAATGTTCCTGTTAGGAACACTGTGTGAACGCATTGTGTTCCCGGCATGTTCTCAGCTTGAACAGGCCGATCCTGAGTAAGTGTGCACGCGCATACACCAACGTTCCCACGCAGGGTCAACGCATGTTCCAAATTGGAATAGGCTACGAGAGTACAAGTGCTGAAGCTCCTGAAACACAATAACTGAAAGTTATGCTTAGTGAGATTTTCAATGGGCATTGCAACACACAATTAAATGGCAGGCCTGATCATTGTATGTGTTCTACATCCCCCCCCCCCCCCCAGGGGTTTCCCTTAACTTTTTCCTTTACTGGCCGGCCGGACCAGTAAATCAGAGTTTTCACTGGCCCGCAACCTTTTTCACTAGCCCACATGTTTTAATAGTAACTTTCAATCAAATCACCATAAGTATTTTTGAGAATAAATTATGCAATATGAATACAATCGGCAATTATCTTAATCATGTACATAATATTGCAAGTAGTTCCTTTTTAAGTGATGTCAATATTTCTTTAATCGTCCATGATTTAACATAGACCAAGGCTTTAATTAACATGAATCAAATAGGGGGAGAAGTTATAATCAAAATTTATGCAGTGTGCTTCGTTCCGAACTTAAGGCTTTAGGTGTTCTATTTCCGACATGTTTTGATAAAACACGAACTAAAAAAGCGTTATCTTGAGGAACAAGAAAACATTGCACACAATCGTGGTATTAATGGGAGTTTACCAAGTTAGTAACTGAACTGTTTTAACTTGTTTGAAAATGAGTGAGAAGGCCAGTATTTAAAAAAAAACATCTCTTGCGCGCGCCATGCATTTCTAGCGAAGAATGGTGCAATCAGCATGCCTAGCCAAGAAGCGCTCCGGGCGGGCGACCCACGAACTTACGCTGGTCACGTCAATCCATAACGTTTTCCGGAGCACGGTCCACTTTACATTCACTAGTCTTTACATTCAAAATAGGCCCCTCGAATCTCATATTGTCCTCATCTTTTCGGTACATTCGTTTTAGTGTTCAAGAAATCACCCCAAGAATCCGTTCGGGCACAAGTTTTGGCAGTGAAACTGTCATGAAAGTTTTCTCCTCACCACGTTGCATGATACGAATACGATGTTAACGTACGTACGTCCGTACCGTACCGTGTGGACTGCAGACGAAGTAAATCACGTGCGCTGCATGTGCACAATGTGTAATGGCAAATACACGTTGATTGGCCTCATGTTCGTCGTTGGGATTTCAATGCACAGCGCACTGCGAATATACATGGAGTGATACGAATTCGAACTACCGATGTTTTTATTTCGGTCGGCGTGGCAAAAGTATTCATGTGTTGTATCACCCTTAACTTTTTATTTTGATTGATTGAAAAATACTGTAGGGAAAACTTCGTTATCTTTATTTTTTTTAACAGTTTTTTGACTCGCCCGTCGGACTACTGAGAGGAGGGTTTTGACTCGCCCGCCGCTGTTTTCACTCGCATTTGGCGAGCGGGCGACCGCTAAGGAAACCCCCCCCCCCCCCCCCCCGCCAATCATAACACAAATCTGCCACTGACTGTTTTCATCTTGTTGCTTTGCCCTTTATTGGAACTGTGGGTGCATTTTAATTGCTTGCCAGCAACCCTAGAACGCCGTATTATTCTAAACGTAGTTCATGTAAAGCTGAAACCTTGAATTTGAAATATGCGTGATATTGGCAAAATAGAAAGCCCATTATTTTGTTGTCCTCGTTCGCGTCAACTGTTACCTTGACAACTCTGTAATATTACGACGTACAGATAATTAACGTTACCATGGAACCAAAAGTTGAGTAAAGCTAATTTATTTTCAACAACGATTTCCTCGAGCATTTTCAGTCTGATTTTCGTGGGCTTCGTAACAAGCTGATCTGGTAGTTCAGTCTTGTATTCTGCTGACTGATTTCGAAAAATGCGTTTGAGTTTCGCTGTTTTCATTCCATTTGGTGTGGCCGCCCTCTTCTCTGTGCAACCTGTTCAAGGAGAGATGTGTAGCGCCATGATCAAGTCTGCAGCCGGCGATGATCTGACCACGCTCCGTGACAAGACATTCGCGGCGTTCAGAAAAGAATGTCGGCTGAACAGAGACCAACTCGATGAGAATATCTGTAAGTAGTCATATTTCCCAAAATTTATTTTGTCTTTGAAATGAAATGGCTTTGCTATAAACTCCAAACAATAAAAGGTCGAAGCAAATTGAAAAGACATGTATGCCAATTGATTGAACTCATATTCGTGATTTTTTTAACATAGAATAGAGAGTAATAAAACAAAAAAGTGAATACAGACTCAGTCAAAATAAACACTGATTGAAGACGTGGGCGCGTTCCACTTAAAACGAACAGTAGCGGTGAAGGTTCGGTACACGGGTGAACTGTATTCCTGAGCCGTTGGATAAATGATTTTTTTTTAACATGGTTGACAAGAACGGGGTACGTTTTTCGGCCGAAATGTGTTGTTTTCTATATCGAAAATCTCAAAAGACTTCATATTTCAAAAACGAAATATCACCCTCAATAGTTTAAGTATTCCGAGGATTTGAAAACTGCTATCCTCACAGTGACGCTTGTAGTAGGCATACTGTTGGCTGCCATTTTGGCAGCAGGTTTTTCGATGACTAGGGTTGGCACGATCGTTGGGGGCCGAGGACAGGTTCTCTCTACCGTTTGCGTGAGTGGTACGCACCAGTAGTCCTGTAGGTTAATTGAATAGTCAAAAGGTCATAGTTTATTGTGCTTTGAAAATAAAATGACTAAATGATTTGACTTTGACTCGTAAAACAGCTTGCTCTTTCTCTACCGTGACTGCAAACCCACACACGTTCAAGTTCATACTGAAGCCACTCAGCATGCCTTTCCGGTTGGACTTCGCTGTGAAGATCGAGAGAGATGCCGCAATATCCCTCTCAGAGAACACCACACATGGGTCCATCTTTGCCGAGATGAGTAAGTGATTAGTCTGAATGTCTGGATAGAAATCTTGTGTATTTTTAAAAATGTAGTAGCTGAAGGTGAATCGTTGAACTCCGATCCCTTGTTGACCAATTTTCAGGATTTTCATTCAAGAAAAACTTTCCCTCATACCCCCCCCCCCAAAAAAAACCAACCAACACTTACACCAACGCATTGTGAATAAACTTTCACTGGACAACACCTAAATATTTAAGGGTATTTTAAGGTAAGTTTCAGTGTGGAGATAGTTGAATGTAACCATTGCATCTATCAAAGCTTGATTCGGTTGTGGGCATTTATGGAATCTTTTAAAGCTGAAAGAACATTTTAGTTTGTACAATTTCTTGTTATACTAGATATTGGAGGTTCGGTGAATGGTCGCGCAGTTATGAGACCCTGCTATTATGTCGAGTGCCCTGGCGTGGATGCTACTCACGATGAGGCAGGTCTGGTTGACGCCAATGAATACCGCCCCTTCTGGATCGACTACAAAGGGGGCGTGGTCAGGGTTGGTAAAGGAGGACAGGAGGTGGCTTTCTTGGAGTGGGACGCCGGTGCACATCACCAGGGAGTAGTAACCCAAGTACGTATTGGTATCGCTTCATGGGCTAGCGCCAACGGAGACTGGGTGTTTTACAAATTTTGCGAGTGAGAATTAGGACCGCTGGTTTTGCTAAACAAAATACGAGGTAAATGTATTACTTCATAGTAAAAGTGAAATTGAGTCCCAAAACAAACTTCATTCTTATCATACTAGCATCTGTGTCTAAATATTCCCGTAGTAGTAAACAGGTACTTTAGGGAATTTTTTTCTCAGCCACAGCTTTGTGAATATGCTATACATGTAATTCTTTTTGTGTTGTACGTATATTTCTATTTACTGAACAAATTTTGACGTAAATCCAACCAAGGCTCATGAAAAATCAATCAATCAATAAGGCCCCCCCAAAAAAATATTCGGTCTCTGGTCAGACCAAAGTTCTGGAATTGACGCGGCCACGCATTTTTTTTTTTTTTTCTTCAAGCTTGAATTGTCCAGACAAGGTGGGTACTATTTTGCTTTTTAGGTGTCCTCATGTACATTGACCAAGTGTCCTCCATAATTTGCCTTGGTGCTTTCGATCATTTGCCTTGGTGCAATTTCCCATTCCTTGGTGCTCTTTGGTAAAATAAATTGAGAAGGTGCGGAAATAGAGGGCGCTGTTGGAGCTACCGCGGAACATTTTTGAGAGAAAAAAAAGATCGACACACATGATTAAAATCGATGCGCGCGCTGACTGACTTATTTTTTTTTTGGCCTAACAATGCCTAGCTTTCTCTGCTTTTTAAATTTAGTCTCCTTTTATTTAGTTCAAAATACTTCTTTTGAAGGCTTTTACATATTTACGGTTTAAAATAACTGTTCCATTGCTTGAATTTAATCCGTAGCCATAACTATTTTAAAGCGTAATTTATACTTTGTCTTATCTGGGAAATATCAATTAAAGTTAATTTAAACATCAACAACCTTTATAATTTAATTATAATTCATAGTTTAATCTCGACGTTTAAGTTCACTGTTTCTTAATTCACATGTGTCACACACTAACGGTTGTAAGTAAATCACAGGTATAGACCTTTTTAAAATCATTTTGACATGATTTGTCCAAACCTACTTCTGGAATTTAGTTAATGAAGGGCCAACAACAGACATACATGTACATGTACTCTTGGCTGTGTTTATTTTTCAATATTGGGTTGGTAATAAAATAGTGCAGTCTGTTTGAAACAAATGGTCAGATATATTCATCCTTAACATTTTCGAACTTCAAATTAAATTAACCTAGCAGCTTAAATTTGCGGAGTATGACTTATTATTTGTACACTACCAAACAAGTACCGAGGGAGGCGAAACGTCACGCGAACTTCACGAGTGTCGGATGATCGTGATTCGTCATCGTGCGTAGTATATGGAGTATTGCGTTCAACGGAGCGACGTCGCTAATATTATGCTAGGGTGCGTCCGATTTACTTACCGGTAGCTACGGATGGAAATAACCAATATGCCTATTTGAGAGCTATTACACAATTTGGGGGAACACACAGTGCAAACTTACCGGTAGGTACATTAAGCTAAAATCTATGCGCACTTGGAGGATAATTTATTAGTGCACCAGTTTTTGTTGACATACGGTAAATGCACACACCCCCTCCAATTAATTTACCTGACTCGTGTGTACGGTCCAAATGCTCACAGATGAAGCACGAAATATCTGTGTCGTGCGTGGTATCGATATCTCTAAACCAGGTCTCACTAAAGCACATTAGACAGCTGTCCCTGTATTTGTGACGATTACTGGTACAAGCTTTCAGTTCATCCATTTTAGTTCTCAAACTCTGGGCATTTCCAGTGATGATTGAGGGAACTGCACCGATTTCATCAAACTCTTCGTAACTTACGATGCATCGCAGCGCTGTGACGCGTCGTATATCTCTACGATGCGTCGCAGCTGCGCGTGTCCTGCGATCCATTTCACTAAACACGTCGTAAGTGCGACGCGTCGTAGGTGTATTTATAGCACAACTCGGTGACTGTTTTATGTCTTTAGTCAGCGTACAGTATATAGTCGTCTGATATTCAACAAAGAGTCGTCGGATCTCAGCTCGAAATTTGTTAAAACGTAAAACAAAATGGCGGCCGTGCGATGTAATTTTGAAGGAAAACAAGCTCTTAGTGGACTGTATAGCTACTGTGAAATTTCAACTCTAATATTCCGGTCTAATTCACAATTATTCCATGAATTTTCTGTTTACAACTTTTCACACATTGCCTCGGTATTATAATCTCGTAAATGTAATGTTTGTGGTATAAAACTGGCTTAGAAATGACTCTTCTTATTTTGCGATGACCACTAGACACGTTGTAACTTGCGACGTATTTTAAGCCGTTGTCAAGGAACTTACGACGCGTTCAACACATCGCAACTTTAGTGAAATGGAAGATACGACGCGTCGCGAGTTCGACGTGTTACACGTCGTAACTTGAGTTGCGACGGGTCGCAGCGCTTCGTGAAATCAGGTGCTGGTGGCTTAAAACCTCGTCGGCGGTTCCCGACTCGGATTCCTCCTTTTTTCCCTCTTTTGCGGCGTGGCGGACATAATTCTGCAGGAATGTCTGGACTGGGAAGGCCGTTGCCTGATGACCTCAGACTTAATAATGCGTCCCTCGTATACACAATAGCTAATGGCTGCTAGTTCAGTACACGTACAAATGGCCCGGTAGGTTTTGCAAGAACATGGTAGAAAACACTTAAAATTAACACGAAAGTCAGTACATACCACAACGACATTGTTCTATGCAACATAACACAATTGCAGCAAACATCAAAATTCCAAAAACAGTTCACACAAGTCCAGAAAACAAACAAAATTTGACGAAAATGTTGAAACAGAAAAACACTCGGGTGGTCGCCGCAGAACAGCGCCCTCTAACTTGGTGTCGTCCGCCCAACAAATATTGGATGACGACATGTTTCCATTCCCCCATCTCCCCCTGGGATAGATCCACCTATGAACACACGAGTCATTGGTAATCAGCCGCAGCCACTTCCCACAGGCACGTGTGTAATCCAGCCGTAGCCAAGTAATTCAGACTTGGCCTGAAAGCGCGCCCTCTCTCGGTCAAGCACGAAGCGCGTAGGTTAGATTAGTCTGGTTCCCATACCAATAGATTCTGACTATTCCTGATGAATCTAAGGTCAGGTAGCATCCGGTAATACACTGTATTATAATTTACGTCACGTGACTAAAACGGAAGGAATTCCTCCTTTTTCCGAAAATGTCCGAAGTTTGCCGAATTCATTTCGTCGACAATCGGATAGTGCCCGAGTATTACCAAGTATAATATAGGTTTTATTAACTGCTAATTGCTTATTAAAAATATTTTTTTTACTCACATCGTGTACAAGGGGCGAACTTTTTGCTGCGTCATGTACTAATTTGAATTTGACGACCGTTACCGGCATTTTGCAAAACTCGGCGTGGTCTTTTTCGGCTCCCACTGTTGCATATAGCAGGGATCCCATTTCAATTGTGTTGGATATTGTTGCATTTTAGTAGGGTACCAGAAGAATACCCAATAGGTGTTAGAATTACAATAGGAAGGCAGCTATGAGGTAAAATATATCTAAGAATGGGTGTTGTTTTTTTCTGAAAGCCTCTAAAAACCACTGTTTATTCAATCTAATTGTGAGGAAATTTTTTAAAATGTCAGAGAAACAGATAACCTGTGGAACATGGAAACTTGAAAAGAATTTGAACAATCAAAAATGTACATACACACACAGGCAAGAGAGTATTATAAATAACATACTGGGAGACAAAGGGCATACAATTCTATATTTTGTGTGGCATTTTACTACCCACCTTAAGTCTGTCATTCTCCAGTTTGAATGTGGCCAGTTCAGTTGACTTGCCGTGTAGCTTGTGATTCAGGTCATCTGCTGTCACCCGTGAGCTCATTTCAGCGTCTTTCAGTTTGTCTTCCAAGTCATCCATTTGCCTGTCAACAATTCAAACAAAAAGTAGTAATAATTAAAAACAAGTACATGTACTTCCTGGTTAACATGGTTAAATTTCTTTTCCCAAATGAAAAGGAAGAATACCTTGACAAAAATAATATAAGGATAGGATTTTGTGCATATTCAGAATACAATTACAGTAAACTTTCCTCATAGTCAAATCTCAAGGAAATTAATAACAAAAATTGAGTTATCTGGAGTTTGAGTTGAGCAAGGTGTCTGATTTTTTCTACAGTCATGGTATCTACACGTGTACTATGTACATGAATGGTTTTACTGTTTTAAACTTCATCCCTATGTGTAATTTTTAAGTTAAAAATGTACATTTTGCTCATATCACATATCGTTGTTGCCTAAAAAGTGCCTAAAACGTAACAATAAATCACTTAAATTGTGTAACTGCGTGTAGGGAATTTTAAGTTTGTGCTGTTTGTTTATCTCGATCAACATACCACGCTCGGGTTTTTCCCATGTGTGGTCACATGGCAAATGGGAGGGTGCGCAAGCGTAGAAGCTGCAACTGGGCCAGCGGTAGCGACACCTGTGGTCGGCACGTGTGGTCTAGCGGTGGAGCACAGGATTCGTGATCGAGAGGTTGTGGGTTCGAACCCCACCGTGGCCATGCGTGTTGTGCCCTTGAGTAAGGTGCTTTACCTCAATTACTCCTCTCAACCCAGGTGTTAAATGGGTACCGGCATTATTCAATGCTGGGAAGGTAACAGACTCGCTGTGGAGGAGGTGTGGCGATCCCCCCACAGCAGCATATGAGTCTGGCCCAATCGCTATGAAAAAGAGATGGGCACTCCGTTCCTGTGAACACAGGTTCGTCCCCTTTACTTTTCTTTTTAGCGATCAGGCTAACTCGAAAGCCAGGCAAGCCCATCTGCAAAGGTTTCCAATGCGATCACATGCCCACTGCAAAGAGCCAGCAATTGCACTGCCGGCGAGCGGGTAACAATTAGGCCAAGGGTAGCGGTCAGGCTTTCTCGACAGCCAGGATTTGTTGCAGTTACGGTCTGGAGTCCGATCACAAATGCATTGTGTATCTGTATCTGTCTGTATCTGTATGGCTACGATTGCAGAAACCTATTCAGGCATTAGCGCAACGGAGTACTGAGGTACTCAAGGCACTGGGAGTTATGTCTATTGTTAGATGAATGAAGTACATGAGAGATACATGTATATGTTACAGGGTTCTTTAACGTACGGGACCTACGGCTTCCGAAGGACGAAGCAATAGTGGTAAAGTGTCTTGCTCAAGAGCGCAAGCACCATGTTCCCACGGCCAGGATTCGAACCCGTGTACCACGGCACATGAGTCGATCACCGTAACCATTGGACCACATTACCCACCTTATGCTGCACCCCCGCGAGAAAAGATGAAATGTGTTGCGCAGTAGTAACTCATGAAAAAAAAATCGCAATCTGTTTGCGCTTCTTTGTTTTGACAGCAGTTTCTTATGTGGACTGGCCGAACAAAAGTCTTGAGATAAACGGAGATATTGGTGCATAATATGTACATAATATCCTATTCTCTTGACATGCTTGAAGGGAATGGAGAATTACTTCAAGATAAACGGAGTCTCGAGTTATCTGATTCGAGTTAATGAGAATTTACTGTAGTTGTGCGTACTTCACACGTGAGCCAGTGCGCACACTCACTGTGTCTCCTTTGATTGGAGCTCTCACATCAAGGCGCCACCCACCGTTCATACCTTATCAGAGCAGCATTCTGAGTCTCCTGCTGCAATTTCTCCTTGGTCAACTTCTCGGCCCGGGCTTTCCACTGATCTCCAACCATGGCGGAGTCGGCCAGCCTGGTCTCCGTCTCCAGCAGCTGCATGTTCAGCTTCTCCACGGCATCCTCGCTCCGTGTGGCACGGTCTTTCTGGACTCTGAAGATATCATGAAAGCCAATTTGAGTCTGCCAATATCTAATACTTAGACAACATTTTTGTACTCTAAAACAAAAGGCCACTCAATTCAGACAGTGATTAGAAACAAAACTGTTCCGACACAAACATCCTGGAACTATCGTTCCGATATATATTCGCTCTGAATGTTTTAGATTCACCTAATACTATACAAATTTGTTCAGAACACTAACTGGTCTGTAATGTCTAAATGTGTGACCACAATTCCCCCCTTTCGGTGACCATCTATACTTCAAAACTTATACTAGGGTTCGATAGGGAAAAAACAGTGGTAAAAAAAACTATGTCACAAATTTGAGATAAGTTTCATGACCTGAAGAATGGATGCCTTGTGTTTGACTTGTGATTGACTACTGATGATTTATGATGATTTGGGACTGACTCTTAATGACTTGTGACAACTTGATTAAAACTATGCATGGAACAATTGAATTTACAGTTAGGGTTAGGATAAGGTAAGCACTGTCGATATAACTCAATTATTCGATATTATTTTGATATCAATATCAAAATTTGAACATTTCGATGTTGCGATATGATATCGAAAATATCGAAAATGCCTCAGTTTATCATCAAAATAAATCTCCTGTTTGTGCTTTTACTTTGTCTTTAACGTTTGCTTTATAATGAAAAAAATACCCAGCATTGGACTGAAAATAAAAACATCAGGACATGCCAAGCGGTTACGCTATGAGCTCTGCGTTAGCTGGAATTCGTGGTCAGAAACCTCAGAAGAAACTGCCCGTTTTGGACAAAATCTCAGTGCTGAGATTTGTTTTAAAAGTTTGAGCAGATCACTGCAGAGAAAGCTGTTGGAAAATTGGGACTTCATATTTTTTCTTTATTTTTTTGGTTAGAAAAAGTTCAGTTGTCTGAATTGTTTTTTACATTTTCTTTGACTCTTACATGGGACATTTTCTTTAACTCTTACATGGGACATTTCCTTTAACGCTTACACGGGATAATTGATATATTGAATATTCTTGATATTGGAATTCTGATATATCGATTATTGGAAATTCTGATATCCACAGTGCTTAATGTAAGGGTTAGGTTCTCATGACATGAGGCTCAATGACTCGTGTTTTGACTATGGTTGACTTGTGATGACTTGGGATTGGCTTGTGATGCCATGATTACATGGACACATCCCGAGACAATTCATGAAAACCCATATCTGTATTTACAAAATTCTTCACACCCCCTGACCTTGTGGCTCTCTTGAGGGCCTCCTTGTCGGCGCCGGCCTTCCCTTTAGCCGCCGTCAGCAACCCCTGCAGGTGGTCCGCCTCAATCTGCTGCTGCTCCAGCCGGTTCTCCATCTGCCGCAGCTGCACGGCCATCCGGTTGCAGTCGCCTTCCCGCTTGCGCAGCTGGTTCTGCAGGTGTCCCCGGGTGGCCGCCACCGAGGTCTGCAGGTCCGTCACCGATCGCAGCTGCTCCCGCTCCGAGGCCAAGGTGTCGCGCAGGGTCTGGACCTCTTCGTCCTTCTCCAGGGTCTGGACGCGCAGGCGTTGGTTGGCCGCGTCGGACTGGGTCAGCTTGCGGAGCAGGACGTCGCGCTGTTCTTCAGTTTGGTCACGTTTTGCCTGTAGAAATACAATTTTTGGGAGCTGAGCTACATGTTCATAAGACCACAACTGGAAGTTTTATCATTACACTTTTCTTTTATGCTAAATGTGATGGAATACAATTAGAAAGCACCGAGAGAGCTCAAACCTCCGCCAACAATTCCCCCCATATTGTCAGTACACCCAAAAGAAATACTCGCATATATCCACTAGACTTGCATATTTTAGTGCACAGGCTGGTCACCAACTACCAGAAAAACCCTACGGATTATGTAGGCATGCAACTGGGAAGTCACCAAAAAAGAGGAAATTCACATCTTTCCCAGACTTTGTACAGTGTTTTTTTATTTTCAATGGCACACATGGGAAATGAAAAAAGAGGAAATCAGCTGATCCAAGGAAAAGTTGCATGCCTGATTACAGTGTGTAACTGCAAAACCTTGTTTTAAGTGGTTTGATATATATGTTGACCTATCAACTGCACCGATATGAGGTCAGTTTACAGACCTGTTATGACAGTCTGTATAGTTGATTAAGTTTATGTCCACTTCGTTTGTTTGTCTGTTTCTGTTTTCATTGTTTTGTTGTGTTTTGTCTTTGAATTTAGTCTTCCTTTTTCAGTATTGTTTATATGTATATATATTTATTTTTTGTTGTGTTTAAGGCATTCCGTTTATAAGCTCCGGCTTCTTGTGTAATGCCTCCACTTAATAGTTCTTATGTAACAATTGTTTTGTTTTCTAAAGTGCTTATTCATGTGGAAATAAATGTTTCTGAAATGAAATGAAATGAAAAACAGTGTCGTCGTATTGGCATCGATTACCAGTGTATTTTATTGCCTGTGTATTGGCATGGCCTGTGAATTTGCATGGGCGGTTTATTGCAGTGTCGTGTATTGGCATGGGCGGTCTTAACAACTCATGAACGCAGCACACACATATACACACACATAATGGTGAAGAATCCTCTAAAAAAAATCCTGGATCCAGACCCAGATCCGTACTTAACCCTGCTATGCCCAGTGCAGTTGGCAGAGAGAGTTATCAGACCTTTCAAAACATTTTAAATTTGCCTGACTAAATGGGTTTTGAAAGGTGAAATAGTGCTGGAACTTTGAAACTTTTCGAAAGGTTTCGGAAGGTGAAGCAACTCTGTGGGCAAATTCAGTAAGTTGCCTTTCAATACCTTTCGAAAGGAATTGAAAGGTGTGGTAGTGCAGTAACAATAAATTCTGGAGGATTTTAAAAGGTCCAGCATTTTTTCCCCTCCAATTTGCCAGCACCCAGATTTTGAGGTGTTTTGAATGGTCTAACTACAGGAGAGTTAAATAATAATAATAATGATGGCGTCTTGCATAGCGCTCATGTCTGTCACAAAGTGACGCTCCTGGGGCTCTTATTATTACCCTGGCTTTAGCACAGCTGCCATTACGGCGCTCAAGCATTGAAGGAATTTCTTTCCACCAGGTACCCATTTACTATACCTGGGTGGAGAGAGGCAATCGTAGTAAAGTATCTTGCCCAAGCGCACAAGCACCATGTTCCCCGTCACACTAGTCACGGCACACGAATCGAACACCGTAACCACTGGACCACAGCTCCCCACACCCTTGTACCAAGGACCACACCCCAAAAAATGCAATCTGTCCATAACTTTTTGAGTTATCTTGTTAACAGACAAACCAACAAACAAACCAACGTTGATAAAAACATAACCTCCTTGGCAGAGGTAATTAGGTAAAAACACAGATGCTGTGTCGTCAGCGACCATACCTCGGACTTGTGCTGGTCCCGTAGCATTTGTCTGAGCGTTGTGTTGGTTCTCTCAAAGTCTTCAAGTTTCTGCAGGAGTAGCTCTCGCTGCTTGCCTAAGATCTTGCTGTCGTGAGAAGACATCCTCTTTTCCTATATACAGAAAACAAAAACAAGCGGATAATGGAAATGGCCTTGTTTTTTTGTGTGTGATATTGACCCCTGAAGTACATGTAATGCAATCTCTTCATACCTCTCTGAGTTTGTGTACTGCATCCCTGAGTTGAGTGACCTGCTTGGAGGCAGCCTCCGCATCCAGCTCCACCTCCACCAGCTTCTTGAGGAGTCTCTCCCTCTCAGTGCTGACGAGTGTCTTCTCAGCCCTTCGCAAAGAGAAAAGGCAAAACCGTTATCATCATCAGGAAATAATGCATCCACTACTTAAACTACTACACCAGCAAGAGCCTCCTGATGACTAACACAGTGCACTGTTGGAAACGTCAAGCTAAAACTGGTTCTTCTGAGCCCCAAACAACTCACTAAGAAATATCATTCACATTGTGGTACCGCAAGCCTCCCATTAACTCTAACTCCCTAGCGTCTTTAACTACATGTAGGAACTGGACCGATTCCATCAAAATCCACCAATCGCTGTCCGTCTAATACAAAACTGTACATGACTTAAAGGAATCCACCACTGACGCACTGGTTGACATTCATGGACTTGCTACACATGGCTTTTATTACAATGGCAGTACAGGAAGCTAGGAAAATTAATGGGATACCCCTAGTACTGCTTCAGGCTTTTAGGCCCAAGTCCATCATACTCAATATACAGTCATGCCTAGCCTTCTGGACCATTAGTCCCCCAAAATCCACCCAAATGGGGGATGGATTTTGATGGAGTTGGGGTGGTTAGGGTTAATTGAGTACTAGTAGGCCCGCCATGCAAACCTAAGTCTTACTTATAGGAAAACTATGATTAGCAATGAATTATGTGCAATGTTTTGGAGGGAATTTCGTTCACCAGTTCAAAAAAAAGGGCTGCCTCATTATTGCTTCATGAATGGAAAGGTTCTGCAGGGTAAAGGGTTTGGAGTGAAATGGAAGTATTACGCAGTCATGGTGTAGGTGGATGGGTAATGAGTAACTTCAAATGAAAGGTACCGGTATCTATAACTCATATGCGATGTTACACCTGCAGTGTTAGGGACTGGAACTTCATAAAGACAGACGCCGAACATATACATGTACAATGTGTAGCCAACTGATTAACAACTTCAGCAGAATATAACTTCTTCTCAAATAACTTAAAAACACTTCAATACTGACTTAACCGGTTACATGTACAATGAATGTCAATAAAAATGTAGAAGTCAGTCCATAATACTAGCACTCTCTTTCTGAAGAAAAAAAAACTATAGAGTCTGAAGGTATACTCTACACAATGGACTTTATCTCATCTCATTTGGACGTCCCAGTCCAAGTCTGGAGATACAGCTAATTAAACAAAAGGACTTGAATTTGAAGTTGGACCACTTTTCAGATTATCTGGTATCTAATGAAAGGTTTTCACATACCGACAAGGTGTGTGAATGCCTTTCATTAGATACAAGACAATCTGAAAAGTGCCCTAAGGCATGTAAGGGTACAGAAACACTTTATCATCTCATAGTACAGCTTTTACAACAGCGTTTAAAGCTATAGTCCATCATTTGCAGCTATCCGAAAAGTAACTGGCGTAATTGTTGTTGAATGAAACATGCTTGGTTGAAAAATAGTACGGGGACTAAACTCCCTGTGAAATTATTCTTTCTGGCAAGCTGTCATTTTGAAGTAATCGACGAAAGAAGGCCTTTCCAACGGTGCTTCTTAAGACGCACCGTAGGAAAATTTAAATTAGTAGTTCGTTTTGTTATTCGGCGAAGCGCGCGCAAGCATTGGCACGACGCACACCCAGTTGCTATAATTCGTCGGGTCAGTGCGCGACATCGCGTAGCTGCAATCGGCTCAGCGAGAATGTGTCTCGGACGCTGAATTCAGGCGCAATTCAAAACATGATTCAGCAACTTTTAATTTGAAAATGAGATCCTAGAATGCTGTTTTTCTCGGAATATACAGCTGAAGCTGAGCTGAAACTTCATCAGGTTAGTTGTTCAATACCCTTCTTTAGATTTTGAACACTTTTGTTGCTTCAAATGAACAAAATGCACAAATTACAAATGATGGACTATATCTTTAACTCTAGACAAAATGACTCAAGGAGAGAGGCTTGTCTGTACCTTGAGAAGTCTGTATCATTCCTGAGCACGTCCACGGAGCGTCTGAGCTTCTCATTCTCTCGTTCAGTCATCTTGAGCTCCTCCCTGTAGTCAATTATCTCCTCCTCCTGGTTCTCCAGGAGACGCTTGGAGATGTCCAATTCTTCCTTGGCCCTCTCCGCTTCACGCTTGGTGCGCTCCAGCTTCCTCTGTTGGCAATATAAAATACATAACATTACTGAGAGCTTTACCGTTTCAAGTACATGTATACCTCTTCACGTTGTCCACATTTCCACATCAGAAAATTATATTCCCTATAAAGATATAGTCCATCATTTGTAATTTGTGCATTTTGTTCGTTTGAAGCAACAAAGTTTTCAAAATCTAATGAAGGATACTGAACAACTAACCCGATGAAGTTTCAGCTCAGCTTCAGCTGTATATTCTGAGAAAAACAGCATTCTAGGATCTCAATTTCAAGTTAAAGTTGCTGAATCATGTTTTGAATTGGGCCTGAATTCAGCATCCGAGACGCGTTCTCACTGAGCCGATTGCAGCTATACGCGATGTCGCGCACTGATCCGACGAATTATAGCAACCGCGGGTGCACGTGCGCGCACGTGTCAATGCTTGCGCGCGTCTTAAGACGCACCGTTGGAAAGGCCTTCTTTCGTTGATTTCTTCAAAATGACAGCTTGCCAGAAAGAATCATTTCACAGGGAGTTTAGTCCCCTTACTATCTTTCAACCAAGTATGTTTTTCAACAATAATTACGCCAGTTACTTTTTGGATGGCTGCAAATGATGGACTATAGCTTTAATGCTAACCTTCCCAAATCCTCCAAATCCTCTTTGCAAAATGTGTTTAGCGAGTCAACACAAGTCTTTAACACTTTCTTGCTATCAGTTTGTGAACATGTTTACATGCTAAACATTTTTTTGCATGAGGTGATAGCAAGTAAAAGTTTAGAATCGTGTTTACTCGCTAAACACATTTTTTGTAGGCCGGGCAATCATCCACACAGAGGCAATTACAGGCTACCTCTGTCCCAATGCCTAAAATTGAAAACTTGGTGCCATGGTCGATTTGACCTCTCTTGGAAAATTACTCATAACTCTCTAAAAAATTATCAGATTTGGACGATTGATGTCTCATTTTAAAGTGGGAAGCATCTTTCAAACCATACCTATATTATCCATGCTGGTTACGCATTCTACGTCTAAAACACATTTTTTGTAGGCCAGGCAATCATCCACACAGAGGCAATTAGGCTACCTCTGTCCCAATGCCTAAAATTGAAAACTTGGTCCCATGGTCGATTTGACCTCTCTAGGAAAATTACTCATAACTCTGTAAAAAATTATCAGATCTGGACGATTGATGTCTCATTTTAAAGTGGGAAGCATCTTTCAAACCATTATCCATGCTGGTTACGCATTCTACGTCTAAAACACATTTTTTGTAGGCCAGGCAATCATCCACACAGAGGCAATTAGGCTACCTCTGTCCCAATGCCTAAAATTGAAAACTTGGTCCCGTGGTCGATTTGACCTCTCTTGGAAAGTTACTCATAACTCTGTAAAAAATTATCAGATTTGGACGATTGAGTGGAAAGCATCTTTCAAACCATACCTATATTATCTATAATAAACAGTGCTTAAAAGCAACGGTTGTGCATGGTTTTTCACGGCTTTCTCAAAAGGTATCATACATGGATCCAATGAGCTGAAACTTCAACAGGTTAAGTTTAGAACATTCTTCTTTAGATTTTGAGTGGTGTTATTATTGGAAACGCATAGAATGCCTGAAAATCAAATGATCCTACACGTATGCCTTTTAGCATACAAATCTAGTTGAACATTGATGAACATGTACCTCTGTCTTCAGGGTGCCTACTTCTGTCATGAGGCTGTCGATCTTCTTCTCATATTGGCCGAATCGTGCATCGTCATAATCCTCATCCAGGTCCTCCATACGCATTGTGGCATGCACTGTATCTCTCTCCGGTGGGTTGATCTCCAGTGAATGCGTTCCTGCCTAGTACCCAAAAAAAGGAGGGGAAAGCAGAACACTTTGATACCGGGAATGCTCCAGTTCTAAGTGGAAATGTACACAGTTGCTGCCAGGAAAAGCTTGAGATGAACAGGTTCCAATTTCATAGCGCTGCAATGCACACAAACTTTTTTTTTTTTCCAAACCCATCAGAGCCTCCATCAAGCATGAGATTTGACGTGGCGTTATTTAGCAAGGATTCATATTAAAAGGTGCAAAAAAACGAGACTTCCAGAATCCATATTGTACAGACTTTGTGCAGTCTTGAAAAAGGTTTGTACGTGACGTGATGTGCAGTAGGTAACACGCAAGCGCATACAGGGCGTGCAGTCTTCGAAATACGTGTGCAGTACACTCTGAATAGCCGGTCAGCGTCATTTACGTACAGTATATCTCACGGCGAGGGTAAGTGAAAAACACGCACGCACCCAAAAAGTCGAGGCTGTTCATTCACAGGCTTACACAAGAATATTTTCAATAAATCTAGAGATTTGCATTAAAGTGAGTGTGTATGTTTTATTACTATACATTTTTTTGGGGAGGGGGGAAGTTGCACAAAGAGATTGACAGGAGCGGGGTTTGAATCTGCGACCTCCAGATTACCGCACCAGCGCTACATGTATACCAACTGAGATATCCAGCCCTACAGGTACCGGTATGTTGGTGATTCCCCTACACTGTGTATTTGCCAATGTCTTTGTACAAGGGGCACTAGTCAGAATCAAGTAAACATGTACGCCGGGAACACGCCCTATTGCTCCAACGTGTTCAAGCACCCTCCTATGGCATGTATGGAAACATGCATTCTGAGCCATGCTGTTACCTGGATCAATATTGGTCAAGTGACCCATTGGTCAATGTTGGTTTGTTAAGAGTAAGCCAGCAGGAGAGGAAGGAAATTTTAACCATTTGTGACCTTTTTTTAGTAGCAGGAGGGTTAAACATTTGTATTTGACACTCACCTGCCAGGAGAATTTCTTTCCCTTGGTGGACCTGCCAGGAGCCGGCACCCAGGGTTCTTTGGAGGAGGCTGTTGGTCTGAGGTTACCCACCCCAAAGCTACGGTTGCTTTGTGCTTTGCTCTCCTTCAGCTTTTCCTGGACATAATCAATGTGATAGAAAATATAGTATTAAAGATAATAGTCCATCATTTGTAATTTGTGCATTTTGTTCGTTTGCAGCAACAAAAGTGTTCAAAATCTAATGAAGGATATTGAACAACTAACCTGATGAAGTTTCAGCTCAGCTTCAGCTGTATATTCCAAGAAACAGCATTCTAGGATCTCAATTTCAAATCAAAAGTTGCTGAATCATGTTTTGAATTGCAGCTATACGCGATGTCGCGCACTGATCCGACGAATTATAGCAACCGCGCGGGCCTGTGCGTCATGCCAATGCTTGCGCGCGCTGCGCCGAATAAAAAAACGAACTACTAATTTAAATTTTCCTACGGTGCGTCTTAAGACGCACCGTTGGAAAGGCCTTCTTTCGTTGATTATCTTTCAACCAAGTATGTTTTTCCACAATAACACGTCAGTTACTATCTCGGATGGCTGCAAATGATGGACTGAAAAATAACATTAACCCCAAAATCCCTGGGCACTTTTGCTACGATGTAACCTCAATCCTACAAAATCCTCCAAATGCCTCCATGCAAAAAAAGCTTACAGCTTCAATCCAACACAATCCTCCGTTAATTCATGACTGTGGTCCTTGGAGGGGTGACCAGTGCCTCAATCCTGCAAAATCCTACAGCAATCACTGTCAATATGTTGAGGCAGAGCCAGTGACATCCTGGAGCAGTATGGAGGATCTGAAGTATAATATAGGGCTTAATGTATGCACGGCTGCATAAGCATTAACAACACAAGGTCTGGCCCAACACCTTGACACAGTGCAATCTTCAAAAATCAGCCACACTTTTTGCCGTACAGCCTCAATCCTGCAAAGTCCTCCGTTTTGCAATGAGGTTTTGAAGGATTTTGGAAAGGAAGGATTTTGGAGAGGATTGAAGGTAGGTTAGGGTTATAACATTTGTTCAACCCATCAGAGTCATTGAACTCTCAAATGTGGCGTCAAGCTCAGCTCAAGACTTCCCGCCAACTTGCTAAATTTGTTTATCATCCATACCGAAGATGTACAATGTACAGCAAATTTATAAATTATAAAGTGTCCCCTGTATGAAAATGCAATGTACACACTGCACACAAGTTTACCTCAACCGCTCGAGCTGTAGCTGATTTCTTAGCCCCTTTCTTGATGTGAACGTGGACCGGAGTGACCTCATCCACATGAACATGGAGAGGAGGGGAGGGGGGGCCTCGCCCCTTGTCGATGGTCATCCTCTACAAGATTTTCCAGCCAGTCGTTAGAATGACAGCTATAAACAAAAGAAAAATCGTCCTTAAAAAACGATACGTAATAGAGATTAGGAACTTTAATTACAACAATGTTTGAGTGAGAGAAGTGAATGTTCTGCAATTAATTTGTCTGTCTTCGCCGTTTTTGAAAACCTTTGTAGCATGACATGCTCCCGAGTGCGATTCCGTTACCGAGCGCGCGCGATGCATCGATTATGATAATGAGTAGACTGGATCACGTTTGTAAACACATGTGCATTTCAAACGATAATAGGGGAGTCGGGAACTAGCGCAGCTTTTATGGCAGGTACCAGTTCAAGCTGGTTCCCGATTCCCTTTTACAGTTCGAAATGCACATGTATGTGTTTACAAACGTGACTCATTATCATAATCGATGCATCGCGCGCGCTCGGTAACGGAATCGCACTCGGGATACGGGGACCATAGAATGTACGCTGGGCATGTAGAAGAAATCGCGTCGTTCAAACATTAAACACGATCGGAAATTTAACGTGTTCAAAATCGCGAGGGGAGCTCTCCGAAATGAACGGAAAATTTCACTTTTTTCCGGATCGTAAGTAAACTTCAGTACAACCATCTTAATTATCGATGTCTACTTGTACCTTGCCACCCTGGCATATCTAGTAATTTGGAGGCCGTTTTGAAGGTGAAATCTGATGTTTTTTGTTGGAAAATGTTGGTTTTGGGGACAGTGACAGGATGATGTTGTCCAGGTCGCGGTATTAGCTTGGACCCCACTATCGCCAGACCATGTCCAAATGTTAAAAAAGGCGACAAGTTGGGTCCAAGTTACTCGGACTATATTTTAACATGTCTCAAACATTTTTTTGCAGAGTATTACATTTTCTTTTTCAGATTTGTGGCTCTGGGGGATTTTTTTTAAAAGGGAAATAAAGTCCGAAATTATAAAATGGTCTGAATCCCATCTTGGGAATACGAGGTAACACTAACAACGATAATTTTGGCATGGAGCCAGACTAAAACTTGTCACCGGAAAATGTTTAAGTACAAAAAAACAGTAATTGCGCATGTTCAGTGCATATCCGGCAAACTAACGTTTACTAAAGGTTTGCCGTCTCCGGCAAAATATACACTGCCAAAAAAAAATCGAGTGCAAAACTGAGACTAGAGTGAGATGCAACCCGCAACCTCGCGGTGCAAAATCCTACCGTCTATCGACTGAGCTGTCGCACTGCTCACTAAAACGTGTGGAAACAAATAATTATATACCTGCGTGCTTATCAAAAAAGTATCGTAGAGGGCGCTTAACAACGGCCGCCGTACCGATAGCCACTTCGAAAGAAAAAAAACCAAAACAACCACGTGTCGGAAATACACGACTACAGTACGCATCACTGCGCTGTCAAATGGATTGGGCGGTGGCAGACGACAGTTTTACCATTTTACAAAGCTATCTTTCTGTTTAAAGTCAGGTCAAGTTATGCAAATTCCTTCGAGTTTTGATGAATCTAATTGTTCCAAACCAACTGTTCATATAAGGTCAGAAAAGATACACAAGAAAATCATCAAACTCACTTTTGTACGTCCAGAATTACAGCGCCGGCCGAGATCTCAATTCACGTTTGTTGTTGTTTACAAAAGAAAGCGTCACGCCAAAACGAGCTCTCCTATTGGTCAATTTATTTTCTCCAGGCATATAATTATTTAAAAAGCACTTGACTCGTACTGGTATTAACTATTATGTTCAATTTGACACTTCGGATGCACCAGATTGCCATCGATTGGTTATTTATTCTCTGCAATATGCATTAGGGGTATAAAGTCCTTTAAAATTGTCAGAAAGTATGAAAATAAAAAAGGTCAAAGCTTTCTTTCTTCGCAGTGGCTATTCTTACGGCAGCCGTATCGCATTTCCCATTTTCTATCGTTACGGTAGACTGCAACCTGGCATCTTTTATAAAAAAAACATGACAAGAAAATATAAAATTAGAAGGAAAAAAGTGAATTTGAACTTTATGAAATTCGGACTTTATTTCCCTTTTAAAAAAAATCCTCCAAAGCCTCAGGTTAGAAAAGGAAAAAAATTCGAGTGCAAAACTGAGTTTCGAACCCGCAACCTCGCGGTACAAAATCCTACCCTCTATCGGCTGAGCTGGCGCACTGCTCGATAAAACGTGTGGAAACAAATAATTATATACCTGCGTGCGTATCAAAAAAATATCGTAGAGGGCGCTAAACAACGAGTGCCGTAACGATAGCCACTTCGTTCTTTCTTTTCCTAAACTTCATACCAGTCCTACTGTAAGTATGACGCAAGGCATTCAGCTGACGGAATGGGGGCCGGGAGTAAATGCCTGACTCCCATTGCGTGGAGTGCTTAACTTGAAGATGTATACGTGCTTCTTTGGTGTGGCACCTTGAAAAATAGATTAATTTCCATATTGAATTGATAATTTTCTAGCATTACATTAGTTATGAGCTTTCAAATGAGACACGAAAAAAAAAAATCGGCCCATCGTGACAAGTAATCCATTAATTAATTTCCACTTTTGAATCAAGAGTGGGACGCACTCCTATCTGAATAGTGTGCGCAATTTCTGAACTGGAGCGCGCCATGTAAAATCCACTTTTTTTAAAACATGTATAAAGGCCTGCAAAAGAAAATAAGCAAATTTAGTTGTTCCAGGACATTATATTCTTTTAAATTTCGTTGGGAAAAGAAAATCGAATTTTGAAAAAGCACACGTATAGTGATATACCGTAAAGAATTTCCCGATTTGGCCGCCAAAAATGTAAAGTAATCGTAAAATAAAAATAAATCGATAAATAATAGAACACAAAACCAACCTCCAATACACCTACCAAAAGCACTGTCAATTAACAATCACCCCTAAATTCCAACTGTCACATCGGCCAACAGAAAGAAACATGCCCATGCTATATAGGTGGCTATCACTAATTTTTAAGGTCGTCCAGAACCCCCCCCCCCCCCCCCGCGCCTCCAGCACATGCACATACATTACATAATAGGCGTACTTGTCCCTGCACCACAGTTAATTACGCGTATAGGCCTACTTATCCATCTACTTTTGTTTTTTACAGGGAACTCATCCAACCATAACCCCCCCCCAAAAAAAAATCAGACTTTGATGGACTGCAAATTAAAGATGGAGGATACCCAACCGCCCCAACCCACCCACAACCTGCAGTTAGTGGCGAGCAAATGCAAGGTCAAACCTGGAGCTCAAAAATCTTTGGAGAAAACTTTTGACGGAGGAACTTTACGCGGACGCGCGCAACAACCACAGATACAATACATAAATTCACAATCACGTGTGATATTATTAAATGTTACAAATATATTTTCAAAATCCAGCTATAGCATTCCATCATGTGCTCATGACAAAAGTTGCAAAACCATTATCATTTGATCAAATTTATTTCCATATTTAAAAGAGAGTATTACTGTATTTGTTATCGAACTAGCAACAGCTACAAAGAATAAACTATTTATACATAGCAGCAAAACTAGATTTTTTTTTCTATACATAATGTACTTACACAAATTCAAGAGTCCATATATTTACTTCGAGTCTCATAAAACGAAAGCAAAGTTCATTTTTTGCATATATGTTCAAAGCAAAAACCTTTTAAAAAAACACCTAGAATGTTTTATACAATATAAATCCCTGGACAAAGACTCGAATTCTGTGTAATTATAATTATAGAGCGCTCCTAATTACTTAGAAGAGCCGCAGTAACCCATCCGACATTCGGAGTAGTTGTTTAAAGACTACCGCCTCTAGATCTATTGTGTCAATTACAATGATGTATACACTTTCTCCCACCATTTGGTAGGAGGGCAAATTTCTATTCTGACGGGCTTTCAAGCAGACCCAGGTGAAAATGTAGTATACAGGACTCAAAATGTTAACAAAAAAGGGACAAAAGCAGGACTATAATTGGAGGACAATATCGGGATAGAAGTAGGACTTGCGGGCATTCAGACTTGGCCTAGGCGTAGGCCTACATGTAGTATTCGTTGTACATTGTACCCCCCATGTCCATATAGCCTCGTTTGGCATGTTCTGTACTCAAAACACTTGTGCTACATCCTCAACTAATAAGCTCTTGTAAGTACACTAGTTGCAGCTAGTAGCCCTGCGCCAAAGGCCAATGTCTGATTTACATTATGACAGTGTGTAACACTGTTATGAACAATATTCACTGAGATTTCAATTTTCGAGGTTGTGGGACAAAAAAGCAGGCAAAAGTAGGTACTTCAAGAAAAAAAGTAGGAAAGATAGGTTCAATGTAAAAACAACAACAAACAAACAAGGAAAAAGTACGGAAAGTACGAATACATGTACTGGAAAGCCTGATTACAAAAACCCAGTTCCTTGAAAGTGCTCATATATCAGCATAAGAATATTTCTAAAGCAACTCAAAGTGCATGCTGAGCACCCCCCCCCCCCCACCAAAAAAAAAGGCACCTGGTTTTTGCCAAGCAGATATTTTCTGGGTATTTGTTTCTCTCACTAGAGTCAAATTCAATTAACTATTTCAAAGAAAAGAACAATAACAGATCTGTAAATTATGTAAGCAGGTAAAAGTAAACAAAATTAATTTTGCGAAATACGATTGTAAATGTAAGATAATTCCATATAACCTTAACAATTGTTTTAAATCATTATAAGAGCAATAAATGAAATAATGCAACCAATACATGGAAATAAAACTCTGTAACTGTACAAGTATTTACAAGGTGTATACAAGGAATTGATCAAGTTCCACATGAATATATTAAAGAAACAATATTGACAGTTATATAAAATTCAATGAAATACTCTGTGAAAATAATACAAACAAAGCAAATATACAAACAAAGCAAATATACAAACTAAGCCAAGCCTGTTCTCAACAATTTTACAAAGGGTATTAAATATTCTTAAGATACAGTTTCTTAGAATATTTTCTGTGATTAACTGATTTCTGCAGTGTTCCATCATATTGGATCACACTGTGGCATGCAACCAAAGAACAACGTATACATGTTTATATGGGGAGTCAATACAGTGTTCGTGCAAAATAAAGATGGGCATGGGCGTCACAAGGATTTTTTGTAGAGGGGGTAAAGCAGATTTCCCCCCCCCCCCCCCCCCAAATCCCTGTATTTTCCAGCATATTCTCGATTATCATTTTTCGAGGGTGGGCTGGGGCATTTGGCCCCCAACCCAATAAATTACCAGCAATATATGACTGATGTTTTATTTTTTTTTTGTCTGCTTTTCCCTTTAGGAAGCCCAGATTCACTGTGTTGTTGTATTTATTATTGCATATTTAGGAAAGATCATCCTTTTGATGACTTTCTGTGTTTAGAGATATAATCTATTTCCATGGATTTGAAGGATTTAGATTTCCCTAACTTTGATTACATGTACATGTATATCCACCTTATTTCTTGTTCACATTTAGTTAACTTCTTGAGTACACAAAGTTCAAGAATAGATTTCCTTATTTTACTATATATTCCTCATCATCTATTTTCCACTTTTTTATGAACATATTCTTAGATTTATACTTTAGTGTATAAATTCATAGTTCCTTTGTCCTGTGTAGATGCCCATAGTGCAGTGTAGTATAGCCACTGTTTAGACCCTTAATCTCCTAGTTGCTGCATATATAATGAGGTGCACTCAGTTTCTTGGAAGGCACCATACCTTAGTACAGGGAGGCAGGAAGTCTGCCAAGTATGTTTATTACCCTGCAGAGATTTCTTTTGTCCAGTGTTTATTGGAGCGTGTGACCTAAGATACCAGTAGTGTCTTATTAGACTGGCACACTAGTCCTTACGTTTATGTGATGCAGCATATATTACTCATATTTCTCTTTTTACACTTAATTAAGCATGCCGTCTGCATATTTGTTTAGCATTTATTTAGTTATGTTATTTCTCCATAGTCCTTTTTTGTGTTATTAATTCATTTTTCCTAAGTTAGTTTCTTTATGGATCCTTAGGTTATAATGATGAGTGGACTGATTTAAGTCTATGGTTTGCTGAGTCCATAGTCATATATATTTAGAGGTCACTGCACATGTGCTTTAGTTATTTCCTATTTTGTCTTTGCAAGTTAAAGCATTCACATGCCTTGTATTAATTCATTTTGGAATTTAACTTGACTTTACGGTTAGAAGCAAATTGTGTTATCGAGTTCGATTTATCTCTTTTGATTGCATTAGATTCTCTAAGGATTATTATTGTTCTTTATATAATTTACTTTGCTGGATTGGTATTTCCTAAAGCATTGTATTTATATGGAATTTCTATTTTGTATCTTTTCAGGGTTTGTTTTGTTTGTGTAAGATGCAGTTCACCATTAAATGAACCAGTCACAGTAAATGTACACCATCCTTGTCGTGTCACATTTCCCAGTGTCACACTTGCATGGTTTCAAATAACCAGTAATAGTTTTACTGACCGTACAAATCAAAAATCAAAGGTTGTTGAGATGGACTTTGTTTTTGCAAGAGTATGATTTGATCATACAACATATACAGGGAAAAGAAAATGTGACCTGCCATAGCATAATGAGGAATAACTCCCACTGTTGACTTTTCAAGTTAAGTACATCATGTAAAAGCTCAAATCATTGGCTTATGATATCACATTTAATTCTGTATCTTAATTTATTCCGAAGATATGTCACAGCAACTTCAACAAGTGTCCTGCAAAATTTCCAGACAAACGGCTTTGAAAAAAAGACATGCCTTGTGCCGGCGGCCAACAGCAGTAAAAAACATTCTTCAGTTTTTTTTTTCCCTTTTTTTTTTTTTTTTGCAAACAAAAATACACATTGTGAATCTTGGACACCTGGGCCACTCAAAAATACAAAATAATCAATATCGATTTTGACACAATTTTGCTAGTATGTCCAACTTCAGGCGTGTATTACTCAAAACAAGGTTTTGGGGGACATTCCTCATTTCGCCTTAGTAGGTAACAAATATCCTTGTAGATGCTCTATACATGTATTATTAGTTATCTTGCGAGCGCGAGTGGAACACGGAATAATGTAGTGCGTCTGTGTCCCACATACCACGAGGCCGAAGGCTGAGTGGTATGTGGGACACAGACGCACTACATTTTCCGTGTTCCACGAGCGCGAGCGTGATAACGAATTTATATCAAACTTGACGCACAGTACAGTTGGAATGAGCACGCTTTACACGGACATTCAGCAGTTTAGCGTATGCAGCTGGTGTGGCGCTCGCATCTTGGAACAGCGGAATACGCAGAGTGCGGTATGGACCGTGGCCGTGCGGTATGGTTATATGTAGCACGGCTTGTTGCCATGGATCGACCAATCAGGATCGAGGATTCAAGTTTGCTTGAAGATAAAATAATTAATCTAAATCTTGCACCAACGCAACCCGATCTGCACTCAAGCTTAGGTCACCTTCCTCCTCTCTGTTACGACTTTCAAGACTAATCTCCATCTCAAGCTGGGCTGGATGATGATCCACGGGCTCCTCCCGTCCCAGTGGGTTCGCCGGCAGCGACTGCCACAGCAGTGACCAGAAGCAGTCCAGGTCCTCCTGGGTCTGGTACCGGCCTCCCTGGATGGCCCCCGGCCAGGTGACGTAGGACAGCGTACGCAGGATGGTCTGCAGGTCCGGGGACAGGTTCTCCTGGGGGCCCAGGTCCTTGAAGATGACCGGGATGAGGTCCGTCTGAAGATGCAGCATCTGGGAGAGGGCGGCCTGGAACTCGTAGCAGCACCACTCGCTCTCGATGAAGCCCGGAGACAGGAGGAGGAGCGTCTTGCGACTGCGATGGACAGCATCCGAGATGTTGTCAATGATACCTGAAATCAATATCAATAAGATTATATGACAATAAAGCTCCATTTTGCTTCAAGTTAAATGAAGACATGGCCTTTTATTACAAATGTTCAATTTACACTCAGCCCAAAAAAAGGAAGTCCCCCCTTCCAATACTTTTTTGACTAACTCAAAAACTACTGAGGACCTCTTGCTTAAATAACGACTAATCAGTACAGAAATTCCTTAGTAATCCAGCCATATACTTTATTTGGCCCAAAACAGTCATAATGTGTACAAATTTCCTTGCAGGCTGTGGTTCACACTCACCTTGCACGTATACAAAAGTGCAACTTTTTTTTCGTAATTTGAGTCGTAATTTGTGTTGTAACTTGAGCAAGATGTGCCCAGTAGTTTTTGAGTTAGACAAAAGAGTATTAAGGGGGACCTTTTTGAGTTGAGTGTACAATTTAATCAATATCTTTGTCCAAGGCTAGCAGCCTTAAACCCACAAATGCCATGTAGCCAGGGATCACGATACAATGTAAGTCAACTACATTGATCTCCATTAGTACAAACTGGATAGGACACGCGTATACTTACGCGCAGTGAAGATTTGGAAAACGCGGACACAAACAGCTGGGTAGTCCAGTGCGGGTTTAACGTCTACGAACGTGCATGCGTGACGTGCACGTGCTGCGTGGTCTGTCTGTGACGAACGCATTTCAAACTTTCAAACCTTCACCAATGACTATGTGTGCCTACAAAAGATGGAGGGTGCTATGTGCTATCCAGTCTTACTAATGGAGATCAATGGTCAACTACATCTTGCCACAAAGATGGCTCAAATATTTTGTTCAGTGATATCAACCCATGATAGTTTCATTGCAACAAACAAATCAAGAGACAATATGCACTCGGCATCATTTCATTTAACCAGCTATACTGGTGCAATTGCAATTTAGTTTTTCTTTAGATATTTATTTTTTTGGCTGACCGAATGACCCTATTTCAGCGGGGGGAAAAAAGAACCACAGAAATAATAAAAAGGGATGCCCTAAATGAAATGCTTGAATATTCTACTCCCTGGATGAATATAAGTGAATGCTAGGCATACAATGTGCACCCAAATTGTCTTTAGCGAGTAAGCACAATTCTAAACACTGTGAATAGAACTTCCATTGCACGGTGTCACTTCTGCTGGTGGTGACGCTGTTTTAAATTGAGATAAATTGAATCTGATTGTTCTTAACCTGTCGAACAGTTTGCATCAATATAAATATGATGAACTTGTCGAACTTTTAAACAGTTTTTAACCTGAATAAATTGGCTTTTAGAGGTCAACCAATCAGATGACAAGGATTTTTTCAGGTGTTATATAAAACAAATAATGAATGTTTCACGTTCGTGCAATGGAAAGAATAATTTTATTCAGTGACAGATGAAATGTTCCATTCCACTCGGCTTCGCCTCGTGATCTGTCACCTCATGAAATTATTCTTACCATTGCACTCATATAATGAATGTTTCACGTTCGTGCAATGGTAAGAATAATTTCATTCAGTGACAGATGAAATGTTCCATTCCACTCGGCTTCGCCTCGTGATCTGTCACCTCATGAAATTATTCTTACCATTGCACCCATATAATGAATGTTTCACGTTCGTGCAATGGAAAGAATAATTTCATTCAGTGACAGATGAAATGTTCCATTCCACTCGGCTTCGCCTCGTGATCTGTCACCTCATGAAATTATTCTTACCATTGCACTCACAAACATTCATTATTTGTATAATATTTTGTTTGCATTGTTTTTGATACACACTGTATAGGCAAACAAGCTAACACTCACTTTTTCCAGGCAGGAAGTATCTGTAGTGGACGCAGACGCGGTATCCATCCTGCTCCAGACGGGGTATCAGGTCCCGCATCACAAACTCCTCATCAGGACTGCTGCTCTTGTAGGAGATGAAGACATCAAACTCTTTGTCTTCTAGATTGGAACACACACAAACAAAGATTGTCTCATATGTAGTTAGGAAGCATCTTAGTTGGAGATTCGGTATGTTCACTCCTTTCCATGGGCAGAAGAGATTTAATTGGCAATTACATGTACAACTGAAAGCAGAGAACATTTTGTCACCGTTTTCACGAACTACTGATAGCACTCACGCACTAGTGGGTGTTACTTTGTGAAAACCACGAAATCAACAATTTTGGTTTCAAAAACTAACACCCGTTGTGCACGCGCAAATCAGACATGCAATATAATGGTTTTCGTTTTCACGAACAGGAGTGTGAATGACCATTGATAAAAATAGCTGAAAACAGCTGGAAAAGGTGTCAAAAAAGCTGAACTTTGGAAATCTCCTATACTTTTGTACACAGCAAGTGAGGGAAAAAAGTATGTACATGTAGCGGTAATACAATTCACAAAAAAATGCTTTAAAAGGTTTGACACAAATTTAATCCATCCATATTCTTGTGGACTTCAATAAAATTTTAGTTAAAAACCGTTCTACTGGTAAAATTAAAATCACTGTTACTTCGCGAAAACGGAAATGTATGGAGTACGCGTATGCAGTACCGCACTGCGCCGGGTGTTACTTGGTGATGACGAAAAATACAGCGGTTCTGTAAAATACACATGCGTGTCGGGCACTCGATCACGCGCACTTGTGTGTTACTTTGTGATTTACTACTCTTTTAACATTGTTTAAAAAAAAGGATTAAGAATGAGTTTTATTATTCATTTTCTTTACCTTTGTTTTTGCCAGCTCTTCGTGCCCGCCAGAGTTTGATTTCTTTGCGGTAGCGATGGGCAAAGATACTCGCTAGCAGCAATATGATAATGCACAGGCCTCCAGATATAGAGAATCCTAGCTTGGCTCCAGTTGAGATACTGTTGTCTGTGGGAAAACATTTTTAAAAGAAACTAATATGAAAGCGTAATGTCTCTTAAACTTTTTAAACAAGTCCATAGATTCTTCATTTTCCGTTGACGAAAAAGTCCCGATCGACGTACATGTAATAAACAATTTCTTACTGCTGTGATGTGGTATGATGAAGTTTTTGACACCCGAGGGGCACATAGCACCCAAGGCAAAGCCGTGGGTGCTATGCTTCCCGTGGGGGTTAAAATCGGCATAACCCACATCACAGCAGTCAACAATTATTTTGTTATAAATATGGTGCCAATAACTCAAAAAGATATATGGTTGTAGCTAATACTGCGCGAGAAATAAAATAAATCACTGCGATGTAACCTTTGTTATCTGAAGGTTTTGATGCCCTTCCGGACATGAGACTGAGCGCTTGACGTTGCAGTTCTCATTGCGCAAAGCTATAGCACGCCAGCAGGTTCCATATGCTCGTGCGCGCATCGCACGCAATGAACACAGTGCGATATCACCCTCAGTGTGTGACATGCATTTCTATTGTCCAGACACATGGCTGTCCTAGACCAATTAAATTACAGTACCCAAGCACATGATATAGCAATCTTGGTTCTATCGTAACTTCAGGACAAGTTTTCTCAAAAGATGAACGCATCACAATAGAGAAAAGCTGCAATTGGCGGCACAAACACACAATGCATTGTGGGAATAAGTCGACATTCTTTTGTAGTGATTGCCGTATGGTATCAAATTTTGCACTAGGCGATGAAGATTAAGCAGTTTTTCATCTTTTTTTTTTTGTTGTTGTTGTTTTTTAAGACAAACAATTCTTTTAACTCACAAAAAGAAACTTGGGTAATTAGCCTTTAACTAAATAAAACCAACATAGGGCTGGATAGCTCAGTTGGTTGAGCACGGAATGGTAATCTTGAGGTTGCAGGTTCAAACCCAGCTCCAGTCAATTTCTTTGTACTTTTCAACAAAAAAACACAACACTGATTTTTGAAGCATCCATTTGTTTGCATTATCTTTTTGCAACAATATTAAGACAACAATATTTGTTGATTTGAATTCTTATCTAAATGGAGTTGTAACCCGCGGAGTACATATGCCAGGACTCTTCTTTTTACTGTAAAAAAATTGATTTGAGTCGAACATTTTTACCATGAATGAGGCAGTGAAAATCTGCGCTCATCTGTAGTGTATTGTATTACAGACATAATAATGGGGTACAACGCAATGCAGGAAGTCAACTGTGGTACTAACAGCTCGAGACAAATGCAATGATAACATTCTTTCCTTCATCTGTTTCAAAAACGTGTTCTCTGCAAAACGCTCACCTGTCACTTTGATCTGCACAGTCTTTTCAGTCCTGCCGATGGCATTCCCCACCGAGCACGTCAAATTGGCCTTGTCGTAGTCCACGTTGATGTTCTTGAACGTGTACGTTGGGCCCGTGGAGACATTAGTCGCGCGTTTGTTTGGGCATCGGAGGGTCCAGGTATAGCCCATGTGGTCTGGGTTGGCTTGGGCCGAGCAGGTGATGGTACCATCTTCGCCTTTGTTGATAGTGACTGGGTCGGGACTGACGGTCACTATAGGCACGTCTGTTTAAAGGCCCATGTAATAAAATTTGTCTAATTAATTCCTTTTAAGGCAAGTTGATGTACCCTAACATGGCGCAGCCCCGAACGAACTAGTGCCTTGCTAGAGCAAAACGTTTACCTCAAATTTCACAAGAAGTGAAATTTCATCAAGCTCCAAACATTCCCATTCATAAATCTTGAGTTTACGTGCCCGCTACTAAGTTCCACAGAAATTCCATTTTGGTGTGATTTTCCAATTTCATTTCAATGTGCACATTACGGTCCCTTTTAAAATGCGCCAACATTAAGAACATAATTTTCGGACAAACATGTAGTTGGGAATGTGAGCGGAAATAAAAGTGATTTATCAGAATTTATCAACTTGCTCAAAATGCTCACATGGGATTTTCTGAGATTTTTTCAGGTGTGCCACGTTGGGAAACACTAATGGCTGAACTGGTGCCCGATTTCCGGACCCAGGAACAGAATTTAATTATTGAAATAAAAAAGTGTTTCAAAAATTACTACCTGCAGACAAAGACTTCATAGTCTGCAAAATTTTAAAGTTGTGCTCATTTCGCAGAGAGATAATTAAGCTGGCAATAAAATTGCCTTATCACTGTGGACTGTACATGCAACTTGCACTTTTGAATAAAAATCAAAAAGACCTGATTTACACAAAATAAACAATATGCACCAACAGTTGTCCATCTCCCCTATCAAATAAGTTTTCAATCAGTTGAACAGTATATGGTTATATGGTTGAACAGTATACAAATATTGAGTGGCTAAGAGTGAAATGGGAGGAATATTATCGCAAGGTAAAATCTGGACTTTTCCATTTCACAAGGCAAAGCCGAGTGAACTGGAAAAATCCAGATTTCACCAAGCGATAATATTACCCCCATTTCACAATTTAAAGCCACTCAATATTTGTTTTATATAACTGACATATAGTTCCTTGTCATTGGATATATTTGAACTTGTATTTCAATACAAAATTGTTGGAAATGTTTGTACTCAACTCTGTTGCGCTGGCTCTTTGGAACACTACGCGCTACGCGCAACGCTGAACACGCTATCCAGCATGATTTGCACACAAATACCGCGTCATGGAACAAGAATGATCCTAACTGTTGAATAGTATTTCCCATTCCCATGGGCGAATGGGACTTTTTGAGCCCCGGCGTGAATGGGAGCAATGACGAATGTCATGTGATGTGAGTTCCACCAATCAAATAACAAGGATCTGTACGTCGGATAGAAATGGAAATATAGTCCTAATGAAATCACTAGGACAACATATTTCTTACATGAAACGTTGAGCGTTGCCATGACTTCTCTGGACCCATTCCATGCCGGACTTGCCAGGGAGAACGTCACCCTCTTGCCGTCATCCCTCGGGCCGGGCACAAACCGGACGGACGTGTTGACGTTCCAGGAGTGCCCATCCTCCGACAGCTTGGTGTAGGTTTCGGGCAGCACGCTACGCTCCTGGACGCGCCACGTCAGCCTGGGCGCTGGCTTGGCTTGGGTTACGATGCATCGGAGGGTCAGTGTCTGGCCTGAGATGATGCTGATGACGTCTTGGAATGAACACTCGGGGTAGGGATCCGCTAATAGGACATAAAGGTAGACACGAAATCATGAATATGCTGCTATGACAATAAGTATGTTTCAGGTTTAAACTAGACCACTCTTAAATGCACATAGGATCATTTGCATTTACCCAAAAGTTACATAGCGAATTATTATTAGAAAGCTTATTTAGACTAAATATCGTACTGGTACTATATTTAATTTTGGAGTATCGTGGCCTCATGGTCTGGAGCACTGAATTCATGGTCTGCAGGTAATTCTAAAGACTGTTGGTTCAAGTCCAGCACGCCTGGGGTTGTGGTGCGATGTGTGCCCTTGGGCAAAGCACTTTGTCACTCAAGTTGCTTTTCGCATAATATCCTTTTCGCATAATGCAAAGTAAATACTTTTAGCAATGCCTAAAATGGATGTTAACATTTTCAGCGATGCATTGAGCAGAATTTGTGCTATATTTTTAATAGTGAGCCTATTTCCTTTGCATAGCAAGCATTTTCCTGATGATCACATTGTCCCTTATTTTGAGATTTTCTCATCGATCGTCCACAGTTCTTTGTGAAAAAAAAATTCATCAGGTACAAAATTCTACATAAGGCCAAAAACAAAATGTCTCCGGTTTCTGGTATGGAGCTTGCCCCAAAAGTGGTGCGGCGACACGGCTTTTTTTTTTTTTTACCTGTTTTTTTTTTTTTTTTTGGCTTCAAATGTCGGCTGATGACTGCAAATGGTGCCCGACTAAACTTAGTGCAAATATATGGGAGTCCAGAGAGGCCACATAAATCTTATTCTCCATCATAACCCCATCTAAAAACACGTTAAAATTGTGCAGCAGCAGAATTCCAGTCAAACCTGTGAGTTTGGCGGTTTTGAAACATCATCTTGTATTGAAAAAAAAACTTTTTCATTTTGCCGACGCGCATGGCTACGGCGACGCGCGCGCATACCAGAAACCGGAGACTTTTTTTTGTTGGCCTAAGGGTTAATTTTAACTTGGATACGATTATGAACATGATGCAGAAAGCCCTACTTACACTGAACTCTGAGCACAACCTCGGCATAGATCAGATCTGGTGACTTGAATGTATGACCTGCGTGGCATCTGTACCCACCCTCATCTTCAAACCCCACCCCTAAGATACGAAGCTGGGACACGCCCACCGAGGGCTGCAGTATCTCGTACTGGTCGGCCTGGTCCGTGATCATCTGGTCCAGGGGTCGGTTGTGACCTCTGACCCAGCGGATTGTCCCGGCTTCCGTCTCGATCTCGCAGGTGAATGTAACGTTGCCGCCAACGAGGGCGGTGTGGTTCTGAGGGACGCGTATGAAGGGTTCGGGAATGGCTACAGAAAAAACATCAAAAACACAAAGAGTGACGACCCATTGGAAGCTCATAACAATATAAAGCTAAAAAATTAACAATATTAAAAAACTCTTTTTTGGATGCCACATTCAAAAAGCAAGGATATACATACATGTATGTATGTGAGGCGTTCTGTCAAATTGAGACAGATGTGGGTACAGGCCATATACATGTAGTAGAGAAAAATGAAGCAAAACAAAAATGGTGGTGATTTTGATATTGATAGTCTTTGAGGTCTACTGCACACATTTTTAAGAAATAGTAGAAAGAGTGTGGAATAAACATGTTTTTAAGGAAAAATATTAGGCATCTTTCATATTCACGACTACAAAACAGTTAAACCTTTGAAGGCCTTTTCTCAGTTTTCTACTTTTTTGACATGTCAACAAATTTATACAAACTTTCTTTATACCTCATTTTGACCTCAGTTGTGTCTAATTTTGCCAGGACGCCTCATCACATATGGTCCAAATATACTGTAACTGGTCTTATTTTTGAGTGACGGACGGAGGGCACTAACGCCATTTTGGGGGATATATACACATATGTGAATCTAATGTTATTGACGCACGTTTACATGTTGCTAATATACAAAAAAAATATATATTTTTACAACTTGAAGTTTTTGATTGAAGTAAAGGTACTAAACCGCTTCAATAAACTAAATCTTTTTGTTCTGTTTGTACCCAGACAATGGCATCACAGCAGCGCATTCCTTTTGTTCAAAAATATGGCCAAATAGACTTTAGTCACGAGTCGGCCATATTAAATTGAAAGCGAGGTTAGCCCTTCATTTTTGGAACTTGTGAGTGGAAATGAAAGCAACAAAGTAAAAGTTCATTACAAATTAAAACCAGTCTGCTCTGATGAATAATTTAAAACTTGTGATTAAATATACCTAATGATAATCCACATTTAAAAAAAAATTAAACGTAAGGCTCAGCGGGAACACACTCCAATCAAAATAGGAGCAAGTTCAGGCAAGGTCTATTAGTCGACTAGTGGTTTGTTCATGACATAACTTACGCCTGCACACTATTAGCAACATGCGAACGCCTGTAGTCAAACAATGGTCAAAACGTCATCAAGAAACGTCTTGGTCCTAGCTCCCCGTTGTGCTTTATGATGCGCGCGGCAATTGGCAACCAGCGATGGAACCGTGCCCCATTGTATAGTATACTGGCGCCATTTTGTATGGGCTGCCGTAAGCGCATAAATTGAAGCCGTGGTTGGCAACATATTTTTCCAAAAAAGTCCTCATAACGCCATCAACACATAGTAAAAAGGCATATGTAGGAATTACTTTGTAGCTTTGTTGAAAATGTTGTATTTTCAAGTATCAAATACTATTTTGGTGATCTGTAATAACTCTTCTTCATTTTTGCAGTGTTGGACCTTCCATAGTTTTGCAGGCCGTGGTTGGCAAAAATCCAGTTTGCCAACCAAGCGCAGAAAGGTCTATAGTAGTCCAACCATTGTCGGGTTGACTGAGTTTGGGCTAACTTAGTCAAACGATGGTTAACGATAGTTTTTGAACTTGCCCCAGCCTGGCAACCCATTCAACAGTTTACAATTTTCAAAATACCGTAGATTATCAGCAAACACAATCGAAAATGGCCTCCTTGTAGGTCTATAATTGACACCACAGCGACACAACTATTACAATGTGCCCGGCATTACCTATGACGGTGACATTCACATGCCGTCTGTATGAATTACCATCCCTGTCAATAAATTTACACACGTAGCAGCCATTGGCAGATGTATCCTGTGCATGGACAATACTGGTTATCGCAATGGGACTGTTGAAAAAAATACAAAATTACAAAGATTAAACTACAAAGTGAATTATGTTGATGGGTTTGTTAAGTTCAGTTAAAAACTGAGAGTGCAGTTGAAAAAAACGGTAACTGAATAAAAAAAAATTTCCTGGCGATATCAACTAATTCAATTTTCTTTTAGGGTCCGTCTCAAATCATATTTAATAATAATAATAATAATAACAGGTTCTTATATAGCGCTTTTAAATAAGATCAAAGCGCTTTACATTATTATTACCCCTAATCATTGGGCCAATTAAACATTCCAAATACCATCTCAGCTCCCTGGGGAGTATACAGCTCGATGCTGCCTGTTAGGCACAAGGAAGCTAATTCAAGCACAATAACCATCACTGCCCTCATAGGTACCCATTTACTCCTGGGTGGAGAGAAGCAATGAGTGACAAAGTGCCTTGCTCAAGGGCACACTCACCATGACCCTGCCAGGACTCGAACCCACGACCTGCAGCTTTACCAACAGACCACGAATCAGTGCCCTTAACCACGAGGCCACAGCACTCCATATTTTGGACGAGTTACAGACAAGTTGCGGACACTTTATGCACGTCAGGTATAAGTTGCGGGATTCCGAACAACTTCTCCACAATAATCTTTTCGCAATGAGCAATTGGCGAGTCATGCAGTTGCTAAGGAAAATTTCCCTGGAGCATGTCCGGGACAAATGCAGACTTTCTTCCGGACAAAGTGAACGATTCTACCTGCTGTACACTGTAGGCCTACTTGCCTGAAACTCATCCCGGATAAGAATTGAGATGGGCCCAAAAAGAATTTTAAACTTTTCGGTAATATTCCAACCAAGAAACCCTTTAATTCTTTTTGGGGGCGTCAGCTGCAGCCCTCTGAAAAATGATTTTATTTTGGGCTTCACCAGATTCTGCATGTATACATACACGTACATGTAGAGATTAGAGGCAACACCGCTTGCCCATCGCCAATAGACCACTATAGATATATGACTGCCACATCCGCATTTTCCAAACGTGCGTGTCATTAATCCTAACCCCGAGCACTTTTATCAGTATCCTGAATCAGCCAAAATCCACAAATTTTGTCAAAAAATGCTGGTGTCCTCATGAGTAAATCAGAATCCACCAGTGTAGTACATACATTTAAAGGGAAAATACAACATTTGCAAACATCAAAAAATAAAACTACCAAATCATTTTGAAATACCTTGCTGGACTGTTAGTGAATGACAGTGTAAAGCATCCTGTAAAATCATGGCACCTGGTATACTGTCATTTTCAAGAAAAGTGGTATTTTTGTATCAATTTCCAACGCTGGTCGGCCGACCAGCATTGGAAAAAACTGGCTTTTTTGTTCAAATACTGGCCCCAATTGACCATGGCACTTGTTTGCAATCGATTACACACCTATGAACGGGTACAAGCCAGCTAGACTGGTTCCCTGACCTTATACAATTCCCCAATGTATGTAAACTGCTCTGTTTCTTCTTATATGGAGTCAGGGAACCAGACTACAGGAAAATGATTGTTTTTCTTGGTTTTTAAAGCATTTTCGAACCCAAAACCTCAAAAAAGTCAGTGTAACTATATTTGCTATATATTTCCAACCCCCCAATTTCTGAAAATTACAGCAAAAGCAAATGATGTATATTCCCTTTAAACTCCATCAAATTACAAAGTCCCCCAACTGCTCAATATGCAAAGTATCCTGAATCCATTAAAATCCTGCAGTGCCGCTAGGCTTACTGTCCTTGAATCCATCGAAATCCCCCAACTAGTTTTTCACTATGGAGGTATCCTGAATCAGCCCAAATCCTACAAAACAGGGGTGTGAATTTTGATGGATTCAGGGCCCAATTTCACGGCGCTGCTAAGCACACGATTTTCTGCTAACAGAGCCTTTGTCTATTTCATGGAGATCGTAAGCATAAGCACAGCAAAAGGCACGCTTACTTCCGAGGAAAAATTTGCTTAACTTAGTGACGTAACAATAGCAATCTCCATGCACGCGTGACTGTTAGCACACACACGCCGTGAAATAGTGCTTAAGGTTAGCAAATTTTTCTGCTATGCTAAACACAACTTTTCTGCTAACTGTTAAGCAGCGCCGTGAAATTGGGCCCAGGTAATAAGTTAGGGTTTGTGCATGCATGTCTGAGACATATTTATCGTCACTGTTATTGGTCCAAACGTCAAGGGGCGGTGCTCAAATCAAGTGTACTGTAAAATGCAAATCAAAAGCAGGCGAGTGTAGAAAGTGAACTGAACAAAAGCCAACCTTGGAGAATAGGGCTTTGTCTCTTCATGGGCGGTGGCCGGCAGGGATGCGTTCTGTCCATCTTTCATGTCTTTGGTCCAGGACCACGCCCTCGGTGACGGCATGCCATACGCTGTGCAATTCAGAGTTAATGTCTCTCCATAGGTCACATAGGCTTCAGTCTCCATAGGCTCCAGTACCTTGATTTGTGGATCACCTTTGAGAAGAAAATAGACGAAGACATCTTAAAAAATGTAATCTAGACATGTCTCAATCAATTCTAATCTACCTGATTCTACCACCACTCCTCAGTATCTTACTATTGTATAGACTTTTTTCACGAGTCGGCCACATTAAATTATAATTTCAGGTAAAATCTTCATTTTTGGAACTTACGAAGAGAAATAAAAGCAATGACATATATTGCAAATTTATAAAGTACCGGTACATGTATATTACAAATTTATACCAGTCGGCTCCAGGGATTAATTACTTAAAATTCTGTTATTAAATGTGTTAAACATACCCTAATGTTTGAAGCCACATTTTTAAAAGAAATGAAAGTGAGGCTATAATGTTTTATATATCTGGCACTGTCCCATTCAATAGTTCACAATCAGCCGCGACTCCAGGGGCGCGTGCTCGTTCCTTACACTAACCCCTGGCTGTGATGATGACGTAAATTGACGCTGAATGGCTATTCACAGCGTACTGCACGCGCATTTCGAAGATTGCACGCCGGGCGCGCCCACGAGGCGCTCGCGTGCTTTGCACGTAACGTCACGTACGAAAAAAAAACATGATTCAAAAGTCGCGATGCCTGTACGATATGGATTATGTCAGCCGCGTTTTTCGCTAAAAAAAACCCTGTATCTGTGGTTGTAAAGGCACGAAAGGGGTACGTACATTTAATACAAATCTTTGCTAATTAACACAACATCCAAACGTTGTGTTTGAAAAGATTGATTCTTCAAAATCACAACTTTTAATGTTTTAAAGATGGCGTCGGCACGTAAAACGGATAAACTGCAGCCCTAATTATAATGTGCCGTATTTTGGCACATTTAAATTACACAATTCCAGGGGTTACGATCGCGCAAGGCATGATGGGAAACAACATGGCGCTGCAAGATCGTACCCACGGGGCACGATCGAGGTTGGTTAACAATGTACAGAATACACTGGGAGCACGACAAAAGTCAGAGAACGTCTTGTACAATGTTTCCAAATGTTGTATGGAATGAAATTGTCACGGGACACACAAGTAGCAAAATGAGGTGTTTGTTTGAAAATCTAGTCAACTATTGAAAATCAAGTCCTTGGAGTAACATAATGCCCAACTGACTAGCCTTGTGCAAAGAATGAATCACGCTAAAATTAATCTAAAGTGTGGGTTAATTCTATAGGGTCCAAACTGTGACTTTTTTTTGTCATTACCTTAATTGGTACGTACCTGTATGTACCTGGTATTTCAAAAACGGCATTTAAGTATCATTAGACATTCCAATTCATAGTAGCTTGGAGGACAAGTGAAAACGAAAAATCAAAGGCAGCAGATGTAACAGGGACATCAAAACAAGTGGACGTCAAATTTGCAGAACAGGGCAGCGCGGCATTGCAATTACATCAGCCGGTGACAACATGGAATTTTTATCAGCACAGATGCTATGTGTTACCATTCAGCAATTCAAACTCAAATTCAATTCAGTTTTATGAAAACGGCACGGCAGACCAACATGACCAATGGGATGTATAGACCAAGGGAACGCATAGAGCAAAGGGTTATCTGCTCCGTTCACAAGTACCCCCTCACCGGCAAAGGAAGTACAGTTGGGGGTGACCGACCGACGCCATCTTGCCTGACTGCAATTCATTTGCCGCGAAGCGCGGCCGGTGCGTGTAAATAGAACAAATCCCCTGGTGTACGTGCGTCACACACAAGGAATGGTGCGCGTCAACCAGCGAAATGTCCCGCCCATGGGACGTCGTTGTTAGGTAAAAGGGCGCCCTCTTTTGGTAGCGCACGGAGAGCTCATTGGACCAATGGGACGTCGTACCAATCGGCCAATCGGACCAATTGGATGTCGGACCAATGGGTTGTCGGACCAATGGGTTGTCGGACCAATGTGACGTCGGACCAATCGGATGTCGGACCAATGGGTTGTCGGACCAATGGGGCGTCGGACCAATGGGACGTCGCACCAATGGGCCGTCGGACCAATTGGATGTCGGACCAATGGGTTGTCGGACCAATGGGACGTCGGACCAATGGGACGTCGGACCAATCGGACGTTGGACCAATGGGATGTCGGACCAATGGGGCATCGGACTATAGAGATGTCCCCCAGGTTACCAGTCAAACCGTCATTCCTTGTACAATTGGTTCTGAAATATTTTGATGGAATGAGCAAACCAAGCATATAAGATCAACTTTGCCCAATTTTAACAGTAGCATGTAAATCTGCACAGCCTTACTTTGGTTGCAGTGACTTCCTCGTAGACCCAGGGGACACATGCACACGCCATTGAAACTGTGGCATTCCACTCCCGGGGCACATTCAGAGCAATCTTGTTCACATCTGCCGCCATATTTGCCGGATGGACAACCTGATAAAGAAAATTTAACCACGTAAAAGCTTTGAAGATGGCAAGAGAACGGATGAAGAAGACCTGGCATGCCTGGAACAAAGACAAATAACAGAATGCTTTGAATTTTGAACAACAAACCAACTGATTATAAGTTTCACCAACAGCAGCTTCGGATGTTCACTCACTGAACTCAGTGTTTCGTCTCCCGCACTCTGATGGCTGTCTAGAGAACAATATTTATACAATATAAAACATTTACCCGCCCAGGCCGCGATTTTATTTTCCCCAAACAATATCCACATCAGATATGTACGCTATGACGTTTTGGACTTTACTTCTCTTAAAAAATGAGAAAAAAATATAAAATTCAAAAAAAAGAAATGAACTTTTTATTTCGCCAGTCGGATGGGGACTGACAGCGAAATAGATACATTGTAACAGCTTTCATGATACCGCGTGGTGATACCCTGCGTTTGTTCAATAAGCGGAGTTACTCTCTATCAACCCACTGAGTATGACAGATCGGAGAGAGAGATAATGGTTTTGCACAAGAATTCATGCCACGTGGGTAAGGGCAGGCACAAAAAAAAGTGATCACTTTGTCCAAGCCAGATATTCAGTTTTTTTCGGGTTGGTTCGGGTTTTGGTCGGTTCGGGCCAGTTTTACCCAGTTATTTTTTTCGGGTCAGGTTGGGTCGGTTTGAGGGAGCTAAGGCCCCCCCAAAAAAAATTTGTTGGTCTCTGGTCAGCGCGAGCGTCGATTTTAATCATGCGCGTCAACCTTTTTTTTTCTTCAATTTGTCCGCGGTAGCTACAGCAGCACCCTCTATTGCCGCACCTCCTCAAATTTTTGTACCAAGGAATGGGGAAATTGCACATGATGGAGGGCACCAACATGACCAAGGCAATTTATGGAGGACCCCAATGTATATGAGGACACAACAGAAGCAAAATAGTACCCACCTTGTCTGTACAATCCAAGCTTGAAAAAAAAAAGGCCAAAAAAAAAAAAAAAAAACGTGTCGCCGCATCAATTCCAGAACTTTGGTCTGACCAGAGACCAAATTTGTTTTGGCCTAGGATCGGTTTCAGTTCGGATTCAGTTTATATCTCTGACATTTCGGGTCAGTTTGGCCTGGTCAACCCGACACGATGCACATCATTAGTCCAGGGGTGCTCCAACAAGTCCCACAGCTACTAGGGTATTTGTCACTTTGCTTCTTTACAGTAGAAGTAAATTTTGACTCGCTATATTTGGATTCACCAAACATTTCCGTACTGTGCAACTTCACCAGCAACCAAGACTGCCCGCGCATGCACGTGGTGTTTTCATTAAACAGTTTGGCTTTGCACTGAATCAGCACGTGATCTTTTTGGGCGTCCAAAAAAACAACCAAACATTGGAGCACAGTGAAGTCAAGCCCAAATACCTCTGGCTGTGCACTATCACAAGCGTTGTAATATGGCCAGTGCAGAAAATGTCCTCCTGGATGTCGAAGACTGATGTAGCGCATTTGCTACCGACTTTGAGCGCGATTATCTTCTCATCCAGGCCAGAAATTTCCAAAGTTAGGGTACCTGCTCGTAGAGGACTTGTTCCAATTCATCTAGAAATCTTCATCCATCCGGCCAAGAAACAACGATCAGTCTTCAGCTCCCACAAACATCGTCTCAAAAACATTCCTCCATGGGATTTCAAAACGGCGGACTGATTTTGCGCGTTGAATATGTATACCTTTCGCGGAGGCCCTTGGGCAAGGTTATGCATTGTACAGTTCATGCCCTCATGTTTCCATCTGTCCTGGATGACTTTTTAAGTTACGGAATTTTAAACCCAAACCGCTGTTTTAAAGTTCTGTCCAAGGATCGCAAAAAGGTGTGCGATCTTTCAGCAGAATGAAATCAATTCACACACATCCATAGTGATTTGTTTTCGTTTTGCTGAAAGAGCACTTACATGAACATTCTTGTGATCTGTGGGCAGAACTTTAAAGCCAGAGTCCATCATTTGCAGCCATCCGAAAAGTAACTGGCGTGAGTATTGTTGAAAAACATACTTGGTTGAAAGATAGTAAGGGGAGTAAGGCGCCAACAAAAAAGTCTCCGGTTTCTGGTATGCGCGCGTGTCGCCCTGGTAAAATCAAAAATGTTTTTTTTCAATAAAAGATGATGTCTCAAAACCACCAAACTCACTGGTTTGACTGGAATCCTGCTGCTGCACAATGTTAACGTGTTTTTAGATGGGGTTATGATCAAGAATAAGCTTTATGTGGCCTCTCTGGACTCCATATATTTGCACTAAGTTTAATCGGGCACCATTTGCAGTCATCAGCCGACATTTGAAGCAAAAAAAAACAGGTAAAAAAGAAAAAAAGGCCGCATCGCCGCACCACTTTTTGGGCAAGCTCTATACCAGAAACCGGAGACTTTTGGGGGGGGGGGGCCTAAACTCCCTGTGAAATTATTCTTTCTGGCAAGCTGTCACTTTGAGGTAATCAATGAAAGAAGGCCTTTCCAACGGTGCGTCTTAAGACGCACCGTAGGAAAATTTAAAATAGTACCGGTAATTCATTTTGTTATCCGGCGAAGCACGCACAAGCATTGGCACAACGCAGTACATGCGCCTGCTGTTTGCTATAATTCGTCGGATCAGAGCGCGACATCGTGTATAGCTGCAACCGGCTCAGTGAGAACATGTCTCGGACGCTGAATTCAGGTTCAATTCAAAACAAGATTCAGCAACTGTTGATTTGAAATTGAGATCCTAGAATGCTGTTTTTCTCGGAATATACAGCTGAAGCTGAGCTGAAACTTCATCAGGTTAGTTGTTCAGTATCCTTAATTAGATTTTGAACACTTTTGCTTCAAACGAACAAAATGCAAAAATTAAAAATGATGGACTATCTCTTTAAAACGGTGGTTGTGTTTAAAATTCTGTTACTTGAAAAATACATGAGTGATTTGAATGATTCTTGTACTAAAAGAAAGCTTATGAATTGGGCTTTCATCCTAGATTTTCAAAGGGCCACATGCAGAACTCCACTAAAACAATGGTCCCGACATTTGGGTTTCACCTTTTTTTTTTCTACTAACCCTGTACAGAGGCATTTAGGCTATAATTAAGTATCTTTTTACCATTATTCCATCTAACAGGTCAAACAGTTTGAAATTAATTTACCGTATTCAGAACATGCCCCAACAACTTTTCATGTTGGGAACAATGTCTCTAATTAATTGAAGTCTTGTACATTACCATTAATTTGAAGCGTGACATTGAGGTTATACTGAGAGTTGCTGATCCTGCGCAGGTATTCCAGGCTGCAGTGCAGATCATGTTTTCCTGCAGCAATGTAGTCAATTTGCAATTCAAAGATTACTCCTTCATCAATCCATCCAGGGGGAACTCGGATGAATTCTTCATCTGGAGCCACCTTACCAGCTTCTCCTATGGACATGACAGATATGACAACAAATTATACATTATGCTCAGTTCTACATCTACATATGTGACCTGTTCTGTCAAAATCAGACTTTTTCTGGGCATAAAGTCAAAAATGTGTTCTTTTTCCTTTTTAATAGGTGGTTTAATTTTTGAAACCGGTCATTCCTGGGCAGAGTTATGCTATTTTGAAGTTCATTGTGTCGAAAAGTAGAAAACGGAGAAAATGGCCACAAACGTCACGAAACAGTTATTTCTTTAACTGATGATACACCTTATCAAAATCATCAAAAACAGTAGGGCCTATATGTAGAGTTCAAATTAGGGTTTCAAACCTTTATAATATATTTTAGACATTATAAGATGGAATTTTGCGTCGGGTGATATAAGTCAAATTAGGTTTTGCCCTTCACCAACGTTTAAACACTGTATACTCAGTGTGTTACCTCCCGAGTGAAAGCTGGAAAAAATCACTCGGGTGGGACTCGAACCCACGACCTCCTGCTTTCTAGTGCAGATGTCTTACCACTCGACCACCGAGCTAACGGGATCGGTTGGCTGGTTCGAATCTGATGTACATAGCAGCGGGTACCGCATAAACTATTATAAGATGGAATTTTGCGTCGGGTGATATAAATCAAATTAGGTTTTGCCCTTCACCAACGTTTAAACACTGTATACTCAGTGTGTTACCTCCCGAGTGAAAGCTGGAAAAAAATCACTCGGGTGGGACTCGAACCCACGACCTCCTGCTTTCTAGTGCAGATGTCTTACCACTCGACCACCGAGCTAACGGGATCGGTTGGCTGGTTCGAATCTGATGTACATAGCAGCGGGTACCGCATAAACTATTATAAGATGGAATTTTGCGTCGGGTGATATAAATCAAATTAGGTTTTGCCCTTCACCAACGTTTAACACACTGAGTATACAGTGTTTAAACGTTGGTGAAGGGCAAAACCTAATTTTATTTTAGACATGTTCAGGATTACAAATATGCAAAAAGTTGAAAAACGATAAAAATCACCCCCACAGCGTTTTTTAGCCCTATCTCAATTTTAAGCGTCTGCTTTTGACAGAACAGGTCACATAGGCCTATAGTCCGAGTAACTAGGACTCTACGAATTGCCATTTTTACCATTTTCACTCTTACCCCCAATACAAATCTTCAGATTTCACCCCAAAAACAGTCTTCAAACTGCCTTATGCGACCCTGTAGGCTTCAGTGGGAATTGGAAATACATGTACAATTGGTGGTGGTTAATTTACATACATTTTGGGAGAAAAGAGAAATTTCACTTTCAATTTGGGAAACATCCTTGTCACAAACACCTTGTTTGAGGCTGCCAATTATGAATTCAGAAAAAGTATCAGACAAACCAATCACAGGGCACTTTGATGTCACCTGGATTGGTGACCACTCAAAGGCCCTCAGTATACCACCAACCAAGATTGCAGACTCAATTCAACTTTTAAATGAGACTTTTCTTCAATATTTTGCACATGAGGGGGAAGTCAAGTGATTTCAAAATGAGGCTACAGACTAGACCAGTACATGTCCAACCATCGTCCAACTATTTGAAAAGAATGACCTCTTCATTCAGTGTCATTAGTCTGGTGACCGACTATGGAGAAATGTGTAATTAAAATAGCTAGTTCCCGGTTCATGCAACACGAGGATTGATGCAGTACTGAAGGCTTCAGTGAAGCGGTGTTTCAGTCCTTCATTTAACCCCAACTCCCTAGGGGGTGTGCAAAATCATATTGAAATTGGAGGATTCAGGACTGTTAGGGCTACAGAAAATCCAGGAGAGCTATAAATCGCTCTCCTCAAATATTCGAGGAGAGCAAATCGCTCTCCTTAAAATCTACGGATAAACAGCGGTAAAACGACGGGTTACCATTGTTTTTGTTTTATTTTGAATATAAGGATTTATTCAAGGGGCTGCATTATTATTAGTTTTTGCATAATAACATATGCTCAAGTTGCGTTACTTTTTTCGTTTTTGTAACTGTAAGACAAGGTAAAATTTATTTAAAAAAACTAACTAAATGGAGATTAATAAAAGGTTTGACTACTGCTCAGGCTTTCATTTTTTAATACAGGTGTCAGTTGGTTCATCACTTGATTATCCTTGGAAAATGGAGAGTTAATAAACGGCACATAAAGCAACTGAAAAATTGCTTTCAGATTCGTTAAAATTATATGAAATTTTCAGCCTGAACTATTTCAATTGCTCTACGAAAGCTTCACAAAAAGGGCCTCAAAATGACACAAACTTGCCTTAAATTTTCTCGAAAATATCTGCCGTCGATAATCTTAAAAATAACGGAAAATGCAGGTCAAGTATGCCATATACACAATGCTAGTCACGACGAGAAACTGGCTAACAACATCTGAACTTCGCACTAGTACGAGCGTTTGTGATGCACTGTGTGTGGTGGGCCGGCAATGAGACTCGTTTCACGGTATAGGATTTCGGTGAAACACGCTGCATCGTTTCACTTCACATACCAGTAAAACTTCCTCAAAATAAATTCATGAACACGGGAAATACATACACAGACAAGAGAGATCAAGTTTTGTGAATAAGCTTGCAAAGATCGTCCTTCTCAATCGTTGTTTTCTTGGCATTTTTACGACGTCTATTCCGTCCAGCCTGCACGCAAAACACTGTACGGCAGGCAGTGCATTGCATGCACCGCGCAGGACTATTACATTGACTGGTTACCGCATTTTCATCATGCCTTCATTGGGACTTAGTGCGCGGCGCAGCGGGAACCAGTCATTGCTGCACTTGCACGTACGGGCCCACGTGTTTTCATGCAGCTCTACGCGATATGCAGATTGTGCACGCACAGTATACAACCGCTGTACACACACGATCTTATACAGTACGTACGAGCTCGGTGTTCGTTCATTTTTAGCGATGTCCAGCGGCATATTAACGTGAGTTTGGGCATTATACCAACGAAAAATACGTGTAGCTTAAGACTTAAAATCCTTTGCGTTTTTATCACTTCTTATTTTTAAACTTCCCGTGTTTGACGAGCCCTCTTTTGGATTTCTGAGGAGCGCTATTTTTAGCGCTCCTTCGAGTCAGTCGAGGAGCGCAGTAGGAGCGCCTGCGCGATCGCGCTCCTTAAAAATGAAGGACTGGTGTTTGGACAAGTTGTTTCAGGTGCCAGTCTATAATTGCATGTTTTCAATACCTTACGTTTTGCGACTCTCATACAGAGTATTGAGAGTCCCAAATTTTCAGATTACATCTACATCTGGATTCTCTAGCAAACAGTTGACCCGCATCCCTCTAGAGTTGAGAGTTGCAAACATTTTCAAGACATATCATAATCACTGCATATTGTGGCGGAAAGTGTTTAGTTGTGACGTCATACCATAGCACTAACGCTTAATCACTTGTGTGCAGTGACCGGGCGGAGCTTACGAGCTCCGTGGGCTGCTGCGCGTACGTGATTGGCCAATAACTCCCATAAGTTTAGCGCACCATAGGATTAGTACACGCACATGGTTTGTAGACATGACGTAGCGTCTACATGTACCTGGTATATAAATGCGTGCCTGGGGAGCGCGCTTTGGTTTTAGCAGTTTGGGTTTAGAACGCGCATTGGTACATGGTTTAGCCTAGTTGTTGGGACTGATTGCTGCTAGTTGTGGAGATCGTTGTTAGGTGAGATACTATAGCTTGTTGAGTGTATAGTTTTGGGGCTCATCTGTTTAGAGTGTTGAGTGCCGGGTGTAGCTGCGACAGCGGGCAGAGAAGTAGGTGAATTACTGGTACCCTGCTTATGTGAAATTGCTTAGGCGATTTGTGTACAAAGTCTGTGTAGCTGTACTGGGGTCGCGCTGGTATGTGTAGCTGGATTCTTGCTTACACACACGGCGTAGCGAGTACCCTGCTAACGGACTGTATACATTGCTAAGCGGCTGTTGTGTGCTTGTAACGCTGTGTATTGCTGACTCAGTGATTCATTCCTAGCGCTGTGCATAGTTGCTCATTGCTGCCATTGTTGTCTGGTGCTTAATGCTGTGTGCGTTGTTGCATAGGCAAGCAGCGGGCTTTCTCCAGTAACTAAGGACCCTGTTAATAAAACAACCCACCGAATCACATCCTAATTGTTGTACTTGAATATTGTTGAATAAATTACGATCATTGTTGTTTGAGATTACCGACAATTCTGCTTCCAGTGTTTATGTTTACAGGTTTATTGTGCAATTAATTAACAGAGATAAATAATCAACACTCATTCATAATCGGGCGGTAGATTTCCACCAAAACGGACCTGCACCCTTAGCCTTGAAGGTCGCTCTGAGTGATCTCTCGTCTAGGGAAGAGCCTTGGTTTGGGAAGATTGTCTTCACCCCACTAGGAGTCAGACTTATCCTAACAGACTTGGGTTGGCCCGGGGGGTTCCCGCCACAAATGGTGTCAGAAGTGGGATGATTGTGAATGATTAAGTTGATTTCTCTGTTGAATAATTGAATTGCACAATTGTTGAATTGTTGTTGTGGTTCTGTGGTGATTTCGGTGGTTGTTTGGAATGATGAGCGAAGGCTCTAAGGGTCGAGTGGGCACCTCAAGTGCTGAGGCCGAGGTGCAAAGACTGCGTTTGGAAGCCCAATTTCTGCAATGGGAAAATGACCTCATTGCAAAGAAGTTGAAGGCTGCCATGGAGTTGCAGTCGGGTGTTTCCACAAAGGAAGGAAACATGGACATGCCAGGTGGAAGCCGGCGTGTGCTCCATCGGGTTGATTCTGATGTTGAGCTCAGGTTGCCCGAAGAGACTTCCGGGTATGTCTCTGGAGCAACTGGGAGAGTTTCAGGCGCAAATATGGTGCCTGAGTTAGCCCCTAAAGTGGGGAGGGAGGTGACTTTCATGGAAAGTTCGCCTTGGAAAGCCCCTAATGTGGGGAGGGAGGTGACTTTCATGGAAAGTACACCTCAGAAAGGACAGAGCTCAGGGATATTCCCCCGAGCGCAGTCAAC